TTTTACTGTGGCAGAAGGATCCACTAGTTTTATACACACTTGTGTTTCTTATTTTCAATTGCCTATTTTCTCATTATTGCTTATGATAGACAGTGATGCTTCTCAGGGTCCTCTTACATGGTTAAAAGGAAGCATTGAAGGGAGATATTTGTACCAGTAATACACAGCTAAGTGGCAGTTAAATAGATATTGTACCTTCAGTGAAAATTCATATTTGACTAGGAAAATAAGATTACAAATAATTACTGAACTCAGGTCAATATGTTTGAAGAAGGCTTCTGTAAAGTCAAAAAAAGGAATATAGGAAGCACAGCTAGAATAATACAAAGGTCGCTATTAAAAAATGCAGTAGTCGCCATGCTGTGGCACTGGAGAATTCATTTATTTTGCTTAAGAACAGGAAATGTCTGTCCTAAGTCATTTACCACTGGTAAAAGTTAACATTTTACATGCCTATCTTAATAGTAGAAGGTAATACACACATGAACAAAGCATCAAAAACTTTTGGAAGTAATTAGAGATTATGAAACAAAAGACAAAGCCTAATTACAAAAAGAGAAAAGCATTATATCTAAGAATTCAGTATTTTTTTAGATTCCATCTTCCTAGCACCAAAGACAGCATTCCTAATTTCTGGTCACTTTAACAATATTGCTGTGTTATGTAACTTCATTTTAATTGGGTAACCCATAGGTTGAAGAAATAAAAAAGATGAAAATTGGCGATCCACTTGACAGATCTACAGATCATGGTCCGCAAAATCACAAGGCACATTTGGAAAAGCTGCTGCAATACTGTGAAACTGGAGTAAAAGAAGGAGCCACTCTAGTGTATGGAGGAAGACAAGTACGTAGACCAGGTAAAAGGCTTTCCAGAGATATTTAGAACTTTTACACTTTATGCAAGAGCGGTCACGATTGTCTCAGCTGTATTTTGTGGAGTTGCAATATCGTGGGAACAGTACCAGGTAAGCCCATGATACCGCAGAGCTTTCAAATCTCATATTATGAGAAACAAAATAAAGTATGAGATCTTTATTTAGATCTTACAATCCATCTTCTTGTTGGGTAGCAAGAACAGTGGCCTCTGTGGCTTGCTGTAACCTTGTCTTCCTGCTGTCAGATAACAGGGGTCTTCCCCCAAGAAGTGACCTGGGCTGTGGCATGCAGACCTCCCAGCCGGGCAGGGAGCAGCACACGTTGTCACTGTACAGGCTGTTCTTTTACTCTTTTGTCCGCTATTTTTCTTGAAGTGCATGCATTTCCATTCATACTTCATTCATAATTATTTTCTATTTCAAGTTGCAAGTTATTTATGACCTCAAAGCATGGGACAGAAATGGCCTGGACAACAGCAAACCCTTTTACCATGCTCAAAACCATGCTCTATCCTCTCTTTAGGTTTCTTCATGGAACCCACTGTATTCACAGATGTTGAAGACCACATGTATATTGCCCAGGAAGAATCCTTTGGTCCTGTGATGGTCATCTCTAAATTTAAAAATGGGTATGTTCTCGTCTGGTTACTGTATTTTCACCCAAAGTGAAGAAGTAACAGCATACACAGTAGTTCGTAAAATCTTGTTAGACCAATCTGAATACCTAGTATTTTGTGAAACGTTTTAGTGAAGTTTGTGTGGTAATTGCAACAGCTTGCTCAAATTACAAAATGTGTATTTTTCCCAGTGGAATTACTTATTTTTCCTGTTATAGAAGACTGCAGTGTTGTGTATTGTGTAACACTGGCACATTACTGTTGCAAATGAAAATTGCTCTATTTATTTTGTAAATTGTATTTTCTAATCTCTTTCAGACTGGATCATAAGAATTATTTAGCATACAGATGAGATTAAAACACTACATAGAAACTTCACATAAATATTTCCATCAGGTTTCATCTTCTGCAGTTTAATAATAAAGTTAAGAACCAGCCATGTAGAAAACCTTTCACATCCATAAATTCTGTAGTCTTAATGAACTGCATTGAATTTTTTAAAGTTTTAAACTACTATTGATTTTTGAAGCTGTATGGAGATGAGATGCAGATAGAAAATAGCACTCTGGAAATAGTCTGAAAAGTTATGTTTTGATAGCAGTTTAAATTCCAGCTTTAATTCTGCATTAACTTGTAAAGCTGGACACAATTTGAGCAAACTGATTCATCATCTGCTTTACAGGCATTTTTGTATTGCTCTAATTCCCAAGCTGTACTGTAGCAACATTTCCTGTGGCATTTCTCAGTGTAGCTATTAACCTTTGAAAAGTGAAGTTATGAGCTTCATGAGCTTGAAGCAAGGGTGTGAACTGCCATGGATCTGTCAGATTGACACACAGATTCGTCCTTAATAAGTCATCTTTTAAAAAGCTCGCTGGAGAAGAAAGGCCATGGGAAAAGTTGTTTCAATGACACTGAAGGCAGAAGGTTGCTAACACTTGTTTATTTTACATAGTTGCAATTAAATAATTTATTTCCCCCACAGGGATGTCGATGGAGTATTGCAACGGGCAAATGCCACAGAATATGGCTTAGCTTCAGGAGTTTTCACAAAAGACATAAACAAAGCTCTCTACATCAGTGAAAAGCTAGAAGCTGGAACAGTTTTTATTAACACTTACAACAAAACTGATGTGGCAGCGCCATTTGGTGGATTTAAACTGTCTGGCTTTGGTAAAGATTTAGGTAAGTTGTCCCCTACCCTCATTTATTGTCTCAGAGTCCTAATCAATGAAAGAATTACAATCCTTAACCCAATTCCTCTCCCTCCCTAAATATTACCTCCCATTCAGCATTTCCTGTACATTTGCTAAATAACACAGAATATTCCTCTCCAACTGCTCTGAGAGCAGACAAATAAATTACAGCTTTTAGAGCTCTGTATAGGCTACGAAAGGTTGTCAAGTAACAATGGTATTGGCCAAAATATTATTTCCCTCAGAGAGAATGCTAATTTAGGTTTCTCGTCTAGGTAAGAGCATGGGAAACTTTTTATAGCTTAAAATGTCACCAAAATTTGTCAACAGACTCAGAAAAAGATGCATTAAAAAACACTCTCTTTTCAAAAAAACTTTCTAGAAAAGTGAAGTCCACTCTGTGAAAGAAGCTTTGCAAGTCTGGACAGATCAAGCTTCAGGGCAGAGAAAAAAGGAAAATCAAATTTCATTCACACAACAGATTTTTCATTTCGGAATCTTCAAAGACATTTCCTGAAACCAAAATGAGTGATGATGTCAGGGAAAAAAAAAATTACTGATTTTCACACAGCTTCTCTATCTCTGACCTTTAATAGAGGAGAAGCAAAGTTCATAAATACAGCTATGAGTCCCCAATGGCCATCTAAAGACTGCTACTTCTTGGGGAACTGCTTGTTAAATCCAGTTCCTTTTTCTTCCAAATCTGTTGGGTCTGGCCCCTTGTCAAACCAGGTTTGTAAATCACAGTGGGAAGGTAATTAGTTTTCATTGTTCCTTAAGGACTCAAATATTGGCTACAGTGTTTCAAATTTTTTCTTAATAAAAAGTACAGTCTCACACAATTCATTTAGCTGCTGTTCTAACAGGTGAATATTGTGCTTGTACAGGTGAAGAAGCTCTTCATGAATATCTCAGAACCAAAGCCATCACTGTAGAATATTAAAGTAACAGCTTCACTTGGGAAGCAGACTTTCAGCAGAGTTTGAATCTTGATTACCACATGAAGCGCTTGATACCACACCTAGGACATGCTGTCTGCAGTGCTACAACCAAAAAAACAAGTACTCATTCCACGGATAAGTTTTTACAAATTAGGTCCAGATTTTAGTCCGACAGACAATGGCTTTTGGAAATCACCCTGAAGTTATTTGAATTATGTAGCAGCAACAGTTGGTAGCCCAATTTCCCCCCATCCTCCCCCCACCAAACCCACCCCCTCCCCCCCAAGAATATGGTTCGGTTTCTGTTTTTTAAATAGAACTGAAGAATAAGTTCTCACACACCTACTTCATATTTCTGTGACATAATGTTTACATGATCATTTTAAATCCTTAGTCATTAGGCTTCCAAAGTTGAACTAGAATATACTGATTATGCCATTTTTGCTATAAGCCAGTTCAAGTTTTATGGTAGCAATGAAACACTCTGCTCTGGTGACTTTTCAGCAGTACAGAAAATCTTTGTGCCATAAGAAGTAAATCAATGCAAGGAAGTGCACTTACTATGATCTTTGTATAGTACATACAGAGTTCAATATTGGTGTTAAACTATGCATATCAAGCTAAAGTTACTGAAAATATTTTCTACCTTTTTGTTGATACAGAATGTGTGATCTGCCTGCAGTTTGAAAGGTGGTTACATTAATGGATTAAAATCACATTTTGTGTCTGTGCACATGGACTGTAATCACTGTTTCATACTGTATGATTATTACTTTGTATTTCACACTTTTGGGTTCTTTTTAATCTCTGGGAAAATGCCTTGTTAAATGACCAAGATCAGATGTTGGTTTTCAAACTTTTTTCAGTTTGGAAGAAATTTTCTATAGATTGAGACCTTATTTAACTAAGCCTTTTAAGACTCCTTGCTCTTAGAATGCAAAAACACCCAAAGCTTCATTTATCTGTGGGCTGCTATTAAAGGCAGCAGTCTGATTCTTTGATCCCCATCCTTCCCCTTCACTAAAATATTCCATGGTTTAATCAGTAAATAATCTTATATTTAAGCCACATTGTAAAAGAAAGACTAGAATCCCTGTTATTTCTTAGCACAAATACTACAGTAACAGGTATTAAAACTAGAACTTTAAGTACAGGATTCAAAATAAATTCTATAGATAACTGCAGATTTCAAGTCATGACATTAAGTTTAATATTTGAGCAAATACAATATAGAAAATTTTACTTTAATGGTGTAGAAAATACAATGTTCCCTTAAGAAACAATGACATCCAGGAGCATGACAGATTCTTCTGAAATGCAGACTGATCTATGAAGTAAATGTAATAGCCCAAACCATTGTACTTTAAGAAAATTCACCTTTTTGTCCTTCTGTCAGTAACAAAATGGAGATTGGAAACATGGCAGGGAAATCAGGGGATGAGATGTTTAGCTTAAAGCCATCTTAACACCCCAGAGGCAGCCTTGATCCTTTGAGTATGGAGGGTGTTTGCACCACAGCTACACAGGTTTCCCAGAGGAGCCTCTAAGCTGCCTGTGCTGGTGTGGAGCCCAGCGCAGGCACACAGGGTAAGTACTAAGTAACCCTTTGCTGAACTCTCTGCTCATGGCTGTCCTTACCCAGGCTGGCTCATCTGGAAATGAGCTCAGCCATGGCTCCAGTGTGGAGCAGTCACTGCCATCAATGCAATGTAGACATACCTCTAGGGTACTTAAAGATCATGTTTAATAGTGAGGAGAGTGTACATAACACTTCACAGTACATGGAATATGAAAACAAAGCTTTTTTTCCTAGTTAACTCTTTCTTGCCCCTGAAGCAAAAACTTCTATCTTCCCATTAAAAAAAAAAAATCTTTATTCAACAAAGAACAAAGCAACAGAACAGGAATTTTCAATTTCCAAGTGCCCCTTTACTCTAGCTGTTTTCTGGGTGTAGTCTACTATGAAGTGCATTTCCCTATTATTTGATGAATAAAATTGCACTTCATGCTTCAGAAACCCAGCCTTCCCCAGCCATGAGCGGAACCTGAATTCTCCACCATGTAAACTATAGCATTTCACAGGATCCTGAGAGATCCTACACTGGGAAACAAAATGGTTTTAAAGGACAACTCTTTGAAGTGAAAAGACTATTTGGTTGGTTTGGGGTTTTTAAAAGTAAAATAAAATGGATTTACTCGTTTGCTTTGCTGTCCAAAATTTCTATTTTGCCCTTTTCTCCCTTTTGTTTAGGAAACTTAATGTTGTCTGCTGTCACTTCATCAATTACAGAGTCATCTTCATCAGATTCTGAGTCATCTTCTGAAGTCAGCAACTCTTCATCTGTATCAGAATCACTCAGTTCAACTACAGCCACATTCTGAAAAAAAACCATCTTGTTTACATGTTATGTTTACTACATACATACACATATATATACACACACACTACAGCACTTCTATCACTGGAGTAAAACAAGATAAACACACTAAACAGCCTGCTACCATAAGAAAATCACAACCACCATAAAAAAAGACTTTTGAGTTTTCCTAGGGTTTTACAAATATCATTAAGAGATTCATCAGTATTACTGGCCTAGGAAATCTAACGCCATATTTATATCACTATCAAAGAAATAACTTAGTCAATAGCTGAACTCAGATTGTCTAAATCAGGTATTTAAACTAACAAGCAGCAGGCAACAAAACTACTTTTCAGTAAAAAATTAAAATTAAAACATTTAGTGTATAAGGAGTCTTTACAAAAATACAAACACATATAGATATAGATATTAATATACTTTATATCTTAAAATGTAGCAGTATTCAGGGCACTACAACTACGCTAAAATAACTAGCAGTTTAAGCCACCAGAATTTCTTTTGAAGACATATCCTATATCCATATACAGAGCTGTAATTTTTGAGGTCTGCTTAGCCAGAAGGCATTTGGCTGGGTCATGCACATATATCACCTTCAAAATAAAGTTTTCTTATATAAGCATGTGGCTGCAGCACTTCAGTTAAAACAGAAATAAAATATTTATGTGACTGTAAAGAAACAGACAAACAGCAGCAACAAAGGATCACGACAACACTAGCAACTTTTCTAAACCCAAAATCTAGTCATTCCTAAAAATACCAACAGAGCAGAGCTGAAAGCCAGTTATTACTCTTATACTAAAGCCTTCTGTTATGCCTTACTAGGCTTTATATTGTCCAGTTTCTAAACATAATCACCTAGATGACATTTAAAATACAATTTGTGACTTTTGATTCAGAGTTGTAGATTCAAAAACATGTCTTATTCCAGTCTTAAACTACTTAATCCCTTGTGATTAAATTCCGCAAGTATGACGGTAAAGACTTCGCTTTACCTATCATATTACTCATTCTAAGATCAGAGAGTTATTTTAATCCCATCTAGATTGATGTTAAAATAAAAAAATATATTTACCATTTCTATAACTTCTTCTGTTTCACTGTCTAGATGTTCAATATCAAACTGATGAGTGGGTGCTGTTACCATTTTTCTTTTGAGCTCATCATTTGCCTGGGCCATCTGTGGTAAAAAGCTCTGTACTCGGTCCAAAACTGAAAAGATACATACATATGTAAAGTCAAAGAGATGCTCGTTAGTGCTCACATTTATACCTCAGATATAAGCCTTTATAACAGATTCCATTTCAACTGTAATTTCCAGCTGTCTACAATATCTAAGTATAGACTGAAGGTCTCAAAGAAGATGGAAAAATTAGCTGCAGCAGATGCCATAATAGACTAATGAAAGGTCAACATAATTAACAAAAGAAAGTCTGAAATTAAGATGGTGGAAGAGAGATGGAAGCTCCAGGTTGAAGTATAAAGCACTTATCCTCTACAGCTCCAGTAGGAGTTCACAAGAATTTTAATGTAATCAATGGAATTAGGAGAATCACACTCATAACCTTTCCTTGGAGGAAGACAATATTTTCACCTCCAGAATTTCTTCAAATAAACTGCTCCACACATGCATGCTGTTGGCACACTGCATACTGCCATGAACAGGGATGGGACACCCGAAATCAGTGCCGTGAGCTGTTTATTTCAAACATCAGTCTCAGTACATTGTTAGGACAACGGAGACAACAGATGTGAACATCTGGCTGATTCAAATGGAATGCCCAGGAAATGTAACATTACAGCATAGCATAAAGCCATCTCAATCCAAGTTTCAGCCAATCACACATAGAGCAACAACATATTGACAATAATTCTATCCAACAATATGAAGCACACATAACTGTAGTTAACACAATAGAGACTTATTCTTTAACACAATGGCTTGTTTATGAGAGACAAAGCACAGAAACTCATTCATATTCACCTTCTAAAGATATACATTAAATAAACTTGTTGCAACCTAAAAGGGCAAATCACAGAGGCTTATTGTTCTATTTCTCACGTCTGCTCTACAGCTTAGAAAACTTTTTCTGCTGCATTGGCACTGTTCACAAATCTGCTGTCTGAGGCCTGTCTTTTTTATCATTTTCTCAAAACCCTCTAATTTTATGGATCCCAACAATGCAGATGAGCCAAACACTAGTTTTCTTTCTTTAAGAAGAGGTACTGTTTCAGGTGAGCTCCACAAAGATCTAACAGGTATAATCTATTTTGAAACACTGTCATTTTTGAAGAGACTTTTATCCAACAAAGAATTTGATGCAACAATCTTTTTAAATTTCAGATCACTCACAAAACATAAAGTAATTTGACAGGAGTCCTTTTTAAATTAAATGCTTTAATACAACAAATATATCATACTGAGAAATTACTTCTAAAAAGGAGCCCCCCCGCAAAAAAAAATCTTCTAAAAAAGATACTGGGAAAGAACAATCTTTAGAGCTGTAACGTCAGCATTGCAAAATCTAATTTTGCAGCAGCAGTTATGTGACTCACCAGTGGGACATGGAACTGTAATGGGAGGAGGATCAACCACCTCTAGAAACTGAACACAAAGGCTTCTCCCTTTTCAAGGAAAGCGCCAAAGCAAACGTTGTGTCACAAATGTTACGTACTACTCGACACAGTACAAGGGACAAGCACTTACCATTGCTCCTTGGCACCTTAACCGTCTGTAAAGTTGTGGTCTTCTTGCTGCTACATTTTGAATTAATCAGCAAAATGTCTTCCAGCCCTGCAAACAAACAAATGAGTATTGAAATGCTTAAGCTGACAGGTTTTCCATAATTGCCATCAGCTTTTCCTGCTCTTGGAAGAAATACAGGCCTACACATGCCAGGGGTCTCAGCCTGCAGGTCACCTTTCATACACTCCTTGAGTTTAAGCTAAAGTTCCTTAAGCTGCTTTTGAGACAAATTTTGATTAAGCTACAGTTATAGCAATTAGAAAAATAACCTCTAATTCCCCTCTGCAGGGCACGGTGAGGTGGGAGCTGAGGCGTGCCAGTCGCACTGATTTAAATCCCGGTGCCAATGACCTCTGCTCACCGTGGGCAGCAGCAGCGCCGGAAAACCCAAACGCGTGCCAGGGAATTCGGCATTAATTATTCTTATTATCCTTATGACCATCAACGAAGCCATCCGCCTGGTATCATTAATTAAAGCGCGGCGTTCTGTCTTTTTAACTTTTTTCTTTGTCCTCAGAAAAACGTCGTTACGACTTCCCATAGCTTAACGTGGATTTCCCCGCATTGCCCCTCTCCTGTTGAAGGGAGAGCAGCCCTTCAACGCACGCGGGACGCAATCACCAGTGGGTCACCGGCGGCCCGATGAGCCACTCCCTCGGGCTACCTGGGAGCCCCCGCTGGCTGCAGGCCGGTGCCGGACTCACCTGGCCGGGGCCTCACGTCCAGCAGCTCCCGGGCCGCTGCCGGCCCCGCCGCGCCGCCGGGCCCCGCCATGCGCCCGCCCACACGGAAGTGGAGCGACCCGCGCGCTCGGCGACGGCTCGCCCCCTGCTGGGCGGGAGGAGCAGCGGCGCTGCCGCCCGCGCGCGACAGCGGGGACAGCGCTCCGTGGGGAGATCGTCGTGACACGGACTGAACCTCCTGAAACACAACAAGAGCAAAGGCTCGAGGGGCACCGCTGTCCTGGCGTGCATTTGGAAGGGCATTGCCAGCAGGTCAAGGTTGGTGGTCCTGCTCCTCTGCTTAGCCCTGGTGAGGCACATTTGGAGGGCTGTGTCCAGTTCTGCACTCCTCAGGACAAGAGGGATATGGAGCTCCTGGAGCGGGTCTAGCGAAGGCAACAACGGTGATTAAAGAACTGAAGCATCTCTTTAAGAAGAAGGGCTGAGGCAGCTGGAGGCCTGTTTAGCTTTGAGAAGAGATGACTGAGAGGAGATTTCATCAGTGGCAAGAGAGACAAGAGGATGGAGCCAGGCTCTTCTTGGTGCTACCAAGCAACAGGACAAGAGGCAGAAACTGATGCCCAGGAAGTTCCACCTGAACATGAGGAGACCTTCTTTACTGTGCAGGTGACCACACACTAGAACAGTTGCTCAGACACATTGTAGAGTCTCCCATACTGGAGATATTCAAAAACTGTTTGGACATAATTTTGTGCAAACCCTGCCTAAGCAGGTAGGTTGGACCAGATGATTCACTATGGTCCCTTCCAAACTGATTGATTCTGTGATTTGGGACAAAAAGTCTATCCCAACACCATGAAGAGCCTGTCGAACCAATCTACCAGCGGGTAACATCACCTGAACACCTGCCAGTAGCTGCTTGTCTCTCAAAACTCTCCCATTTTCATTTTCAGAATTTGATAAATGAACCTAAAATTAAGTATCAGAGCCTGAGGGAGTTTTAATCATCCTTAGGAAAAGAAACTTACACAACCACCAAGTTCAGATGACACTTGATACTAACAGCCTGTTAGTCAGGATTTCTTTTGCAATCTCTGTCCTTATGTATCCTTATCGGTTCCACAGTTTCTGTCCTTTCACATCTAGACAATGTGAAAACTGCAAAAAGAAAACTGAACGGTTCATAAGAAACAAGATAGGAAGTCCAAGATGAAAATGAGAATAAATAGTAATCAGGTAAGTGGTGATTATAGGCCCTCATTGCAAAGGACAGAGGAAAATGACGGAGGAAAAAACCCAACCACACAACCATCCAGATCCCAGTATCTTGGAATTAACATGAATAAGAAGCAAACCTCTGCAAGGCCTCAAGCAAGAGACCACCCTGCTGTTTTCCTGACAGACTGTCCCAAACAAGTGTCCTCTGCCACTTCCCCAGCCCATCCACAGTGTCAGGTGCACTCCACTGAATTTGCTATCTGCACCTTTTCTTCCTCAGCTGCACTCCAGAATTTCTATTTCCCAAAAAAATCCTTTTGCTAGCTTTAATAACTGAAAAATCTTGAAGACTGAGTTTTTTGCCCTGGGCCTCAAAAGTGAATTTCTGAATTTGTACACAACCCAAAATAATAGTTTGTGAACCTCAAACAATATATTTCATCCATGGGTATGATGTGATTTCCATCGAGGGTGGGGCATAATGCTGTCAAGGAACCTTAGTAGTAGTGAGTGATGAAATGATTGCCCAAGATAACCAGACAAGCAATTAGAAAAGCCAGAAACAGCACCCTCAGGTGCTATTGCCAAACCTCAGATTTACAGTCTCACCTGTTGGCAACATAGGCAGATGTGATCTTCATCTGATTTGTAGGGTAGCCCAACTAAGTATCCAAGCTGTGTAACACCTGAGCTCACACAGGCCATGGATATATAGGTTTGGTACTAGGGTAGGGAAGTTACGGTATCTGCAGCCCAAATCCCCATCACATACAGGCTTGAGACAGCCGAATTATTAGCTCTGAAGTTTGGGCTGCTTCATTCATTTAAGGTGGTATTGATGTGAATGTTCAAGCTGATCCTGTATGTTTCACTCTCGTAGTGCAGAATGTTTTGGCCCCAGTCCTGCGAATACATTTCACCACCACAACTAGCTCCAGTTTATGGCAGACACTTGGAGACTTGCCAGTGCTTTTTTCTCTCTGTAGACAGGAAAAGAGATGCTGTGGGCTTGGCTGTTGTCACCATCATTAAATCTTCTCTTTTCATCCTCTTTCTTCCTTTCCTCCCTTTTACCTTCCAGTTAAGGCATCCTCACCACTTCAAAGTGTTGAGCAACAACTGAGAAATAATACTAGTATTCATAATAAATGCACAAATTTAGCTGGCTTGACCATTTCAATGCGTTAATGTAAAGTGTTAATATTAAGTGTTTTGCAAAACAGGAGTCCAGCAAGGCCTTGGCTTCATACTTAGTTCAACAGAGGCAGCTGATGTCAAGGGAGGAAATTGTAGACTTACATGCTGTTTGCAGGGTGTAGAGTCCAGTTGGGCAAGAACAAGGATATTCCAACTGACCCAAACACTTTACAGAATTGAATTCTTGGGGAAGCTGCTTTTTGCCAACTGGCAGGAAAGAGCGCAAATGTTCTGGTAACTGGCAATCAGGAGGCAGTACAAAACGGCGTCTCCTGTGCTACGGCCAAGAAAGCTTCTTCGAGTGGAAGCAAAGGCACTGCCGCCGCCGGCGCTGCCCGGGGAGCGGTCTGGCGCCCCACTCCCCAGCGCTTTGTTTTCCTGGCTGCGGGGCACCAGCCGAGCCCTTGCGGGGGCAGAGAGGCGGGGGTGCAGTTTCGTCCCCCGCTACCGCCGGGGGGCCGGCAGGACCAGTGACAAGGGGACTCAGGCAGGCTCGCAGCGCGGGCAGCAAGGATTCGCCCCGGGGGCCAGGCTGGGAGCGACCATGGCCACGAGGCCCCATCCCATGCCATGCCATCCCGTCCCGTCCCGTCCCGTCCCACGGGCGACGCGGGGTGGCGGCCCTCGGCTCCTCCCTCCCCCGCCCAGCGGCGGCTCGGAGCGGCCGGTGGTGGCGGCGGCTCTGCGCATCACGGGCCACATCATCGCGGGGGCCGCCCGCTTCCGCGCCTGCTCAGTGGCGGCGGCGCTTACCTAGCGCGGAGCTGTCACCGCCGACGGCTGTTCCCGCTCCGCCGCAGCGATGGAGCGCAACCTCGCCACGCTGCCGGCACCACTCTCGCCCAGGTGAGGGGAGGGAGCGGCCCGAGGGGGCGGCGCGGGGAGCGAGGGCAGTGGGGCTGGGCGGGCCGGGGACCTGCCGCCTCGAGCCGGGGGAGGTGGCGGGGGCCGCGGGTGAGAAAGTTTCCTGGCCAGTGGCGGGCCCCCGAGCGCCACGCTGGCCCGCCCCGATGCCGGGGTGCCCAGAGCGCCCAGGGCTGGGGGGCACTCGTTGCCACCTGCCTCCCGCCCCGGCCGGCGTTCCCGGATGCCGCGGGGCTCGCTCTCCCCTTGCTGCGGGGCCCGACGCTCCCGCCCGCCCTTCTCCCGCACCCCCAGCTGCCCCCCGGCGCCGGGCGGGCTCCGCTGCTCGCCCGCGCCCCGGTACCCAGCTCTCCTCAGGGCCCCGCAGCGCGTTTCATCATGTGCGCGTAATTATTCACTGCTCCAGGTAGCCGGGACAATGAGCCTTTTCTTCGGTTTCTCTGTGCCTGCATAAGACCTGCCCAACACTCCCAGTAGCCCCTATTCCTTGGCACTCTTTACATCCGTATGTACAGACAGTTCTGGTCCCACCTTTGCACCCATAAAAATGTGCCAGATGGTCACTGCATATGCGTCACTAGACAAGCACGGAACCTGTACCTGAACAGCACGCATATAGACTTCAACGACCATCTATTTTTTGTTAATAAACGTTATTTAATGTGTAATTAAGCGTAATTAACGTGTGATAGCACATTTATTCTTTTTCCATACTTTTCTGCTAAAACATAGAAGCTTTTTGTGATTTATTCTACTTTACTTTCTATGCTCTCATTAATTCTCAGTTAACTTCAGGTTGTAGCTATTTCTGTAGTTTCACTGAATGTTATTATTTCTGCCTCCCCTGGCCCACTGTCCAGGATGTAGTTGAGTGTCTTCTTCACTCACATTTGAATCTAGGTTATAGACCACACTACAGTATGTGAATCATATAAAATAAAATAATTGTTTAGTCTTGAGGAAGAGTCCTAGCAATGTTTAGAATACATGCCTAGTTATCCTCACTTTACCAGTTTAGTAATGTGGGTAAAAAGATGAGAGCAGATAGGATGACCCGTTTTGGCAGCAGTCCCTACATCTACTGCCCTAAAGAGATTGTGAAACTGGATCCGTAAATACTGTAGTATGCCTGGTAGATACTTCAGGAGGAAAAATAACAGTGTATAATTTTCTTTTCAAATGTCTGTACTATATATCCGCAAAAGCAGTAGGAAGTCTGTATCCTAGTGCCTGAGTTAATAAGTAATTACTCTCTCCTTGGTGATGACAGTAGAGACCTGTAATCAGGATCCCAAAGTGTAGTTAGGATTCATCCTGGTAAGTACTTATTGGTTACTTAATCTAGAGGACTGCATTAACCCCACCTGCTTTTGATGGTCTGAAGGATGTGATTTGCCTGGTATTTTTCATGCTGGTATTCCATTTGTGTAATTTTACAACCAACCACATTTCACAGCCTTGCTGTTGTGTTTTGACTCTGTTTTGATCTTTTCTAGATGACTTGCCTTAAAAGTGCAGAGTCAAACCAAGTCTTTTTCTCTCAGTTGCTTTTCTCTTCCTCAGGGCCAAAATTGAAAGCTGCTGTGTAAAGGAAGTAGAATGCAGCAGTCTCAAACTCGTCTGAAAACTGAGCCTGAGGGTGGCAGATCATTCAGTGCCTTACTGTCAAGAAGGCACCTGGCAGTTCTCTAGTCTGTTTTTTTCCTCTTGTTATTTGTTTCTTTTGCTGTTAATTTAACCAGCAACTGCCATACAATAAACACAGTGTTAACCAGTTTACTGCATAGCACTTAAAAATGGTACGTAATGTTCTTATATCTGTCTTGCATGCAACATTTGTTGATTTTCAGCATGTTTTGCAGCCTTTTACACGCTGTCCTCAATATGTGGTGTAAGTAATCGTAGCCCAGTGTACCACATTGGTTTCTGGATTCTGTGGAATGGTTGATGATAATACAGCCTGTTTACTCTCTGTAATGCTGAGGTGATATGATGTAGCATTCCCTTTCTACTGATAGGCCCACTACACTAATATAAATGATTAGCCATGGCTGTGATAAGGGTGTCAGTGTGATACTGACACTTGTGTTTATACATATGACAATAATGGACAAGAGGCCATGCAGATCCCTGTATCACCTGTTTTCTGAACCTAAAGAATGCTCCCAAATCCTCATATTTCCAGCTTTACAGAATCTCAGAATTGCCGAGGTCAGAAGGAATCTCAGGAAATTTTCTATTCAGCCATGCCTGCTCAGTGTAGGGTCAAGAAGAGCAGGTTTCTTGGGACCATGTCCACTTTGGTTTCAAATATCACCAAGGATGGAGTTTTCAGAACTTTTTTGAACCTGTGTTCAGCCACTGTCATGGTTAAAACCCCCAGCTTTTTCTTATATTCAAATGCCATTTGCATTGTTTCAATTGGTGCCTGCTACCTCTCATCCTTTCAGTGAAAGGAGTCTGGTTTCATCTCTGAAGACACAAAAAGAGTCTTTCATGCCAAGGAATAATCCAGCTTCATCTTTGCTTATTATGGCAAATTGTTAAAGTTCAGTGTTTTGTTAGCATTTCATATTACTTTCCTGAATCCTTTTCCAAGGCTTGTCCTTGTCCTGAGAGTTATTTCTCAGACAGGTATGTTTACATAATTGTATTTTATTGTGGTCTGCCTGGAAGTGCAGTGTAGAGATTATTAATGCTGTAAAAAAATGTTGGCAACTTTTAGGAAAAACAGGTTTCAGCTGTGGTGTGATTAGCTTTGGGTCCCATGAAAGCCCTCAGAATTACTTAGATAGATGTTATCTTTTGGTTTTGTTAGCCAAGCTCTGAAAAAAATCAGAAATTTCCCTCAACCTAAACTTTGGTAAGTATTTGTTTTAGCCTGTCAAAATGTTTACAGAAATTTCATGCTTGATTCTTCCTCCTTCCCCTTTTTTTGAAGGTTCTTAAAAGGTCACCATGATTTATTGTGTTCACGCTTTAAATGAATTGTTGGCAGTCTAATATTTTTCTGATCAAATTTAGCTGTAGAATCTGGTCCCTTAATCCTGCTAATGCTAGATGTTCTTTAAACCAACGGGAAGTAAAGAAGAAGCATTTTCTTTCCCATGCTCTTGAGAACAGCATTATAGATCTGTCTGGAACAATGTGGACAATTCTTTGGGCAATAGTGATGAGAGTTCTTTGAGCTTCTTCCTGAACAGTTGAATATTTTTGGTCATGTGGTCTTTCTCAAATGAAGCAAGCCAACCAAAGGTGAAGGATAGAAAAATGTCATAATAATCAGGTGTTCAGTTTCATAGCTCAAGTACCTGAGATCTTTCTAAAGCAGCTTTGCATTTGCAAAAGTCAGCATCTCTTCCATTTTGTGGTCCTGTTTTCTACAGCATTTATTTCTTCCTGTCCATCATGTACACTGTCTCCATGTGTGTTTTTTAAATTGCTGCATGCATTGTATTAACTCTTATGGGTAAAATTGGCTTGCTCTCTTTTGGATTGCCAAGTGTTTAATTTTTCAGGAACACATTTTCAATGAATGGCAGACTATGGCTGCATTTGCTATTTGTTTAGGTTTACAGAACTATTTGTTTTTGTTTGTGTATGCTTGCAGGACTGAGAGAAAGAGGTGGCTAGTACATAGGAATTGTTATTTGCTATGAAATATATGAAGGAAAAGAAGAAACTATTGAAAGTAGATACCTGGGAAACAATATGGAAGAGGGAATTACTATTTTCATAGTTTGGGCATAACTCATTATTTTGTCTGTAGGGACAAAGACAAGGTGTCCTTTCATTTCATATGTAATATGCCAGCTATGAGAAATCTGAGGCTAATTCCTGACTTCTGAAAGGATCTTTGTCTCTTTCTTTTTTCTTTTTTTTTCAGTACTTCATCTTTTTCTGTAACCTCCAGATTATATGTCAAGGAACCAGAACCACTTATCTCCTCTTCCTGCAGAGACCAGGAAAGAGATTTTTGAGATTTTAACTGCCTTTTCTTCATATGAATTACTCAAGCAGAGCTTGCTTTTTTAGCTCCCATATCTTTTCTAGACAACGCAACAACATAGGCATTTTTCTTGTCAATGATGAAGTTTCTCAGGAAGTTCTTGTTCTTCCTTAGTACAATACGAACAAAAGGGTTTCCTGCATCTTGTGGGTACAAAATACCCCTGAAAATACAGCAATTATTAGCATCTTGTAACTTAGGATGAAAATATTGCACCAGATGACATTTGGAAAATTATTTTTGTTGGAACACATGTTTAGAAATGAGTTACATTTAGTTACATTTAGAAGGGTTTGTAGTTATCTTCTCTCTGTATACTCTGAAGGAACTATAACTTTTTCCTGTATATTGTACTATACAATACTTTTCCAACCTAAACAATTTTATGGTTCTATGGTTTTCAGTTTATCTTCTTAAGTTCTCATTTTCCAGCTTTTATCACTAAGTTCCCATATTGTCATTCTAAATCTTTGTGGTAGGAAAAACATAAAAGGCTGTCATCCAAACTGCTTTGTACTACTCAATTACTAGCCATCTGCACTAGCCCTTCCTCCATTTGGAACTTGACCAAATAATGTTTGTTTCCTTTTTTTTTCCCTTTTAAATATGATTTCTATTTCTTAATACTTTCTTATATTAAATGAAACCGCAATCTTATCAAAGGATTCATTTCTCAAAAAAACCCTAATAAAATATAAACATTTTAAAGGAGAACAATCTATATGTTAAAAAAGATATGGATAATTAACCCAAATATTTTTGGCCACAGTTGCAGAGCAGTGAATAATTTCCATGAGTCACTGGTCTAGCACTTTGGTGATGTGAATGGCAGACATATGGGAGAAACTGCAGTGAGCCAGACTCTGCATTGCTAAAGCTATCAGAAAATTTTCTCAATGCATTTTCCTGGGAGTGAAGTGAAATCCTTCAATTTCTTCTTGTTCTGGCTTTCTGTAGCACTTAACAGAGCACCATTTTGACCTGTGGTTAGAGCTGCTCCAGGATAGCAGCTACAGGTTTTTTTTATTCCTAATTAAAGTATATGGAAACCAGAATTGAGGCCTAGGAGGTTTTTATGCACTGAAATGGAAAGATTCAACAAAGCACAATCTGCTAGAGTGGCAAAAGATTGCAGGAATCTTGGTTACTTAAATTCCTCTGTTGGCTTTGTGGAAAAAAGATTGCTGTTTCTTGCAAAACTTGGCTTTTTTCTAGATCAAGCCATACATTTCATTGTCATTTTAAAAATATTTGTTTCTTGGTCAAAGCTCCCTTGGATAAAGCAAATGGTAGAGGGAAAAATCATCATGTTGCTTCTGAGTCTTTTCACTCAGAAACCCCAAATCTAGTAGTTCTGTGAGCAACGGAATTCTGAAGTGGACTTGCTCTGGCCATATTGGAGTGAGTTATCCCAGCTAATGTTTGAAGACACTTGGCAGCAAAGGCACAAACTTGAGTCTCTTACAAGTCTATTAGTTGCTAAAAGCTTTGACATCTCCAATTCCTGTAAAGTCTACCTGAAATTGCTCTAAAAATACTGGGTGACTTAAAAGTTTTGAAATAGAGGGAAGGGAAGTATAGGAATCATAAAAGATATGATCATAGGAAGCTGTTTCTTAGGAAATGCAGTTTAAAAGTCCTCCAGCTCTACAATATTTTCATTTCCTGCAGTCTGTAAAATGTTTTCACAGCTTTGCATAGATACGACGCGATGTGTTATCCTACATCGTGCTGGTGCAGTCTCCCTGACTATTGTTTCTCTGTTTATGCCAATAGTTTACTTGTATTTATGGAGTTTAGTAATAAATACCAAAGTCAGCAAAGCTTTGAGTCACATTAGAACTGTTCTTTTAGTAAGTTGCTACAATTATTACCACAACATGAAGATTGAAGAAAAGGAAGGTAAAGTGGCTTCTGGTGGAGCAAATGTGAAATGACTTCAGACTGTCAGTATATCATTGTTTATTTTCTCCCCATGATGGAAATGTCAAAGTAGAAGCAACATCACTTTAAATCATGGTAAACAGAAAAGAGAAAAGATTGTGATCTGAAAAATTAAACCAATGTCTCATATATTCTGTAGAGTTAAAATATTTTAGAAGTGAATATATACTTTCTACTTTTTTTGCAGATCCAGTCTTGCTTATGGAAATGTTGAAGATTTGAGGGCAGTGAAAAAACACTTTTGCTTGCAAAAAAGGAACATTTTGGTCCACTTGTAAGTGTGACACTTGGTGACTCACCTGCAAGATTTCTTGGCTGACATCTGAAGAACAAAGTGCTTTTCAACCTGTACTTCTATAGCACTATGACTAACTGTAAAGGCAGATCTACCATCTCCAAAACAAATGGCAAAGTCCATGACAGAGAAGGCTTTGTAAACTGGACCATAAATCTTAATACAATTCAGTCTGATAAATTTTTGAGGCTGCTTTTAAGTATGGTTCCTGTTGTTTACCAAATAAACCAAGAGGAAAGACACAAAAAGGTGAATGGTGTCTGGCAAGATGGATTGCAACCAGTAGGACACAATTTTAATGTCCGGTCCGAACAACACCCAGAGTACCATCACTTCTCAGAAGCGAGCTTTCATGGTAGCAATGGACACAGCCCATCCAGCTGTAGCCCTAAATATGATGATTTTACCAGTTACAATTACTGTGATGGAATGGACACTTCAGAAACAGATGCTATGTTGCAGGATGACACTCTTTCTAGTGACAGTAATGAGGATATCATTATGGAAGGAAGTAGAAAACAACCCAAAGAATCGAGTAGTATTATGGCACTGCAAATACTTGTACCTTTTTTGCTGGCAGGGTTTGGAACTGTTTCTGCTGGCATGGTTTTGGATATTGTACAGGTTGGTATTTGCTTTGTAAGGCTTTTTTAACAGGTAGTCTGTTAGGTCTGTAGTTCTAACATGTGACATTGTAGATGTCTGCAATATTGAGATGTAATTAGGTCTGTGTGTGGTTCTGCTACTATGAGCTTATTAAAAAAGTTTGAAATAAGCACAATGTTTAAACAGAACTACAATACAGAAATTAATCTTTGTGGATTTCTCCACTTTTGTTTGGTTTTGCTTGGTTCAGATGTAGGAATTTCTTTATCTACACTTAAAGAGTTTACAATGTTAATTAAAATACAAGGAAGAGGTGACAATCTTTGTCACTCAAAATCTTAAGAAAGTAAAAGAAGCTTGGACTTCAATTAGTTGCAATGGAAAGAGACTTTGTTACCTGAAAAAAAAGGTAAATAAAATTTCACATAGAAACTTCACTGCTTCCTTGGGCTATTTGACACCAGTCTGGTGCTTTGTTCATTTACATCGTACAAATTTATTCTTTATACAGATGCGTTGAATCCTTTTATTTTCATTAAAATAATAATTTAAATTATTGCAGATCCCCAAATAAAAAGACATTTTACAGTTTTGTTAGTTTAGTTAGAGTTGGTAAATGATGACAAATTAAATAACATGGGTTGACAAGACATACAAAGTAGCATAGCACTTCAGTGCTGAGAACTTGGTGCACAAAAAAGGAAAATAATTTTCTTTAAAAAATCTGGGTTTTGGAAAGCTGTGCTCTTGTAAATTTCACACTTAGAGATAAAAGAATAAAGACAAGCTTTTTTTACTTACAAGCTCTGTTCATATGATAATTAATTCCTTGGTGGTTTTATGTAAGGTTTCTACACAGCTTGAAAGGAAAAGATGAAAGTACTGAAAATAAGGAGCAGAATTCAAGAGCAATCATAGTATGTGGGACTATTTTAAATAATGAAAAGCAAATACTTCAGATTGATGACATATTTTTTTAACTACGTTTCTTTTAAGGCCAAGTTTTGTATATCTTGCTTATAGTCTTATCTTTGAAGTAGTAATATGCAGTCATAAATCTGTTTTATCTAAATAGGTAACAGTTCTGACTTCAGACTTTTAGGTCTAATACAAAAATAAAACATTTTTTTAGAGGGTTAAGTTATGATTTACAGAATTTTTTTAATAGTTTATGGATGGTCTAAAGATAATCTTTCAATTAAATGTTTCCCACTGTATCCTTCGTATAGCACTGGGATGTGTTCAAGAATGTTACTGAAGTCTTTATCTTGGTTCCTGCGCTCCTTGGTCTCAAAGGAAATTTGGAAATGACCCTAGCATCCCGGCTGTCAACTGCTGTAAGTAACTTTCTCTTCCTCTTCACTCTTCAGATACATGTTTAAACATTTCAAAGGAAACAAATCTTTGAGACACAAGTGTTTTATGTTTATGAATTCATCTGGCTGTTATGGGGCAGTTTAAATCTGTTATTAAGTTGGCAAAGTTGAAAAGGTGACCCTTGTTTCCACACATCAAAACTTCACTTCTAAAGTCTCTTCCAACTCATCATTCAGAACAGATAAAGCAGATTTTTGAGATTTATAGGTGTATTGAGAGATCTCTTTGACCTTGAGGGATTTCGAATAGGCTAAAAAAAGGTTGTGTTTTAAGCGCATTTTTTAAAAGACCATTAGTGTGGCAGCAAAATAAAGCATTGGTAACATTGCTATTCCAGATCTCTGTTGATTAACCTGCAAGAATTTTTTTTAAGCTTTCTGGCTAAACATAGTTATTTATTTTTGTTGTGGCGAGGTTGTTTTGGTTTTTTTTTTTGTGCTGCTTATTTTTTGTGTGTGCCAACACTGTAATGTAGTATGACTAGGGTTTTTTCTGTGTGTTCTTTCTCATGTATTTTTTATAGGTGTTTTTTACATTTCAGGGGATGTTATATGTCTCCGTTTTTCTAGTCTAAGTAAGGCAGATCGCCTTCCTGTATATCTTTTGTGTGTGTGTGATAAACTAGTGATTAGATCAGTCTAATAATGTAGCTAGGCTATTTCTGATGGCTGCACTGGGTATCTCTCTAAGACTGCCTAACGCAGAGCTTCTGTTCTCCAGCAAAGCCCCACTCTTTGCCTCTTCCTACTTGAATGAATTTTTCTAGTATATGTCTGGTCAAAGGTGTACATAACTCTAGATGATATTTTACTATGTCTTTGTAGAATATTGCTCTTGAAACTTTCTAGGGTGTTATGTGCTTTCTTGCCTAGAAGGGTCAGTTCTAAACCTCAGTCACTTTGTGATCAGTGGCTGTGCCCTATTATTTATGCTTTTGTTCATTTCCAGCTGTCACTCCTATCTTCTGTCAGAAAGTGTCCATAAGTGCATGACCTTACATTTCTACTTTTGAATATTATCAGCAGTTTTTGCTGCTGTAACCCACAAGGACATTCAGTTTTTGTATTGTATTGTGGATGCTTTGTATTGACAAGGTCTCCCTGTGTTCTGTCATTAATAAATGCCATTCCCACATTCTATTGAGTTGTTGTGTGAATGCACACTGTGATGGACACAGCCTTGGCAGTCCTGTGAGGGTTTGCTTGTTCATGCCCATTACAGAAATTGATTACTTTCATACATAAAGACATTGACATTTCTACTGTATCTTTATCAACATCATCCTTAGTCATTCAATCTTGTTTTCTGTTTGATTTTATTGTTCTTACTTTTCTGAGAATTCTTACTGTTTCTTAACAGTATTTTGTGTTTAAACCTTACTACCTTTATTGTCAGGCATGAATGCTTTCATCTATTACTTTACCTTTTGGTTTTTGTTGACCTGTTGCTAAATTGGTTTCTGACTGGTATAGTTTGTGGCCTGAGGATTAAAAATGCTTGTATTGCATAGTGAAAAATACACCAAGTCCAAGATCTACCACTGTCTTACTGAAGGCTTAAAATAAAGAAGGTCAGAATACACTTCACCACTTCAGCTTAGGTTAATGTGATCTTTGATTCTTTGTCTCAGTTGAGCTTATGACCTCTGCCAGATCACAAATCCAGAACTTCTCTGGCTTGATCAGTGACTGAATTTCCCATCCTCACCAGTGCCATCACATTTGTGAGCATCACAACACTTACGGGACGTTTGGAAAAAGGTCACACAGACCCTTTCTCTGCACTGTGACTCCTGACCTAGGTCCTTATTATCCACCAGCTGTTACCAAGACAGGAGCTGATCCCCCTCTCACACACAGATGAAGGGTACTTGAGTTTCCACAACACAGGCTGCATGTCCAGTGGATAAACAGAACAATCCTGTACAAGATAAGAACAGTATACATCATTCATTATCAAGGGTATGCTAACAGGATTATATTTAAGTTTTTATGTTAAAAAAAGCCTAAAAAACCCAAACAAATAAATAAAACCCCAAACCCAAGCTGTGGAAACCTGTTACAGGTGATGCCTTACTGCTAGACCTGCAATTTACATGCCAATTCTCTCAGAAAGAGGTCATTCTGACTTTTGTATTCTTCCCATTGATTTAATTGATCCCTACTCTCTTTAGCCACTCAACCTTTGGTCCTATCATCCTCATCCTAGGAGAACAGGAGGAGAACATTACTTCAGAGCATATCTAAACACTTATTTGGAACCCACTTGTCTGATTAATCTTCCCCTCTCTGGCCTACATTTGCCCTTTCTGGCACCCCAGCAGACACCTGTCTTTAAGTAAAAGCTAGATGGTGCCCCTGTGACCAGCTTTACCTTTTGAGGATGAAATTTCTGACATGAGTCCAGCTTTGGAGTTAATTCATGTCCTGCTCACTCACTTAGCTTATTATTGCATCTGAATTTGCAGACATGTCTGTGCTCCTGGGGCTGTATATTAATTATATTTACTTCATTGTTAATTATGTGGTCAGCCAAAAAGTAGTGTCTTCTTAGCAAGTATCTTATCCATAGTACATCAGTTTCAAGCATTGTCTGGTCACTTTCCTTCATCTTGTTGCCCAAATTTCTCTTTTAGCTGCATCTTACTGATCACTCACAATTTCCCATACACTTTAGAATCAGTTATTTCACTAAATCTGTCTTAAGACTGTGTTTTTCATCTGTCTCAGCACAGATGTACTTCCCTTTGGTGTTAGTTAGTGTAAACATTCCATACCCTGGCAATCTTACAGCCTACTGTTTTTAAAACATTATTTTTATCTCACCAGAAGTCACTTCATATGTAGAATACAAATAGAAAAGAGCAAGAAGGTGCTTCTGGAGTTCTGTCTCTGTAAGCCCTTCTCCCTCTGCCCATTGCTGTGCTGGCATAACTATGGGAGGTGCACTTAGGTCAACTGCCCATTCAAGCCCAATATTTATGTTGGGTTTTGTGTCCTTCAGTTCTTCAGCTTTGTTCTGTTCTTTGGGTCATTGTCATTGTCTCAATTCACACTGCTGTCTCTTCTCTCTATTCTCTTTTAATTTTTAAAGAGTAACAATAACAAAAAAACCCCAAAGAAATGACACACCACCAACACCAAAATACCGCTTATTCATTCATTCCTGTAAATTTGTGCAGACTCTTGTTCAGACCGTGTGTTCTCATTGTTAAGCATTAGCAGTATGACTTCACAAACCTTTTGTTTAGATCCATGTATTTCATAGTATCACACTAAACTTGAGCTCAGTTTGTAGAAATTTGCAGCTGTGAGGAGTGGTCCTGCTCTTTCTCCCTTCCAAACCCTGAGAGCAAGGTGACATGAGTGGATGTGATGGATCAGATAATTTTATAGGAGATGACCCCTTTTCACTCCCTGAATAAAAATGTTTTCCATCAAATCAGCAATTTTTTGGTGCCATGAACTCACTCATGGAACTGATTCAAGAAAAAAAATGTGAGTATGTAGGTGACAGTAGGAGAAAGAAGAGCTGTGGCATTTGGCAGGAGCTCACCTTTAGGATTAAGCATTTTGCAAGATTACTTTTTTTAACAGGGATTTTTGGGGTACTTTTCCAAAACTTTTTTAAAGGAGAGAAGGAGTGAAACTCCACAGCCTGCCATTTTGTTCATTTAGCATATATATTTAAGAAGGATGCAATGGAGATTCTTATGAGCAGTTCCTGAAATAATGGCTGTACTGTCTAAACTTACTTGATGTATTTGCAGAGCTTTCACTATAGTTTGCACATTATAAAGTATTTATAGTTTGATTGAGATAAAGTGCCTCATTATATTTCTGGTTTTAAATTAGCATTTCTTTTAATACTTTGTTCCTTTCAAGTCGCTACTATCACAAAATGGAAAAGAAATTGAATTGAAATCTACTGAAAAGGAATTACCAAAAGATGAAAACTATATGAAGTTTTTTTTATTTTTTGAGGAGTATGTTATCTTATCAATTAGTATTGTATAGGAAAAACCACTAAAATTTATGCTCAACATGTAAAAAATGGTCTGTTATCTCAAAAATGAAGTTATTTTAAACATAGTCATGTATCAAATCTTGTCGTCTACTCAAAAAAAAAGCAAAAGGAGGAAATACATTATGTAAGGGGTGTATGTACTTTTAAATTGCTTGGAATAATTTATTTACTATCTTTCAGCTACTACCTTAATACTAGACTTACATAATTTTTTAGCATCAGAAATCTCTAGCTGTACTGTATAAATGAAAAGTTAGAATGCTAAACAGTATTAGATTCTAGCATTTTTTATTTTCAGAATTTAAGCATCATAGGAACAAGCTTAGTGTAAAGGGATCTTCCAGCCACTGATCTAATCACTGGTGGTTCTTGGACATTCCAGGAATTTAAGATGGCTCTTATATCTTGCAGAACAAGGTAATGGTAAAAAATTTACTATGTAAAACTCCATCAAATATGGCTGCTATTGGAAGGATAATGTAAGTATGATGTAAAATCAAAAGCAATGTTTGACTTTTTAAAGACATATCTTGTTTTTAATCAAAGTGTCTTATTTTATTAGCTGAGTTATTCCTGGGTATTTTCAAATAATACCATTTTAACCCCAAATGTCTGAATTTCTCTTCTGATTTTGATAGGTAAATATTGGAAAAATGGATTCTCCCATTGAGAAATGGAACCTAATAATTGGCAATTTGGCCTTAAAACAGGTAAATATAATGGGTTTATTGGATTAATTCTTGTGAGTGAAGTTATTGAAAAAGTTAAATCACAAACATTGTTAAGCATGGAGATGAACAGTGTTAATGGGAGAGTAGCTCTACTACACTGACTCTTCTCTAAAACAATATGAGCTTATATTTATTAGAAAAAGAACTAAAGTATTGCTTGTGACTGTACCAAGGGTATTTCCTTTATAATTTTTCCTGAGAAAGAATCTGAGGGTGATTAGAGAAAAATTTCAGATTTGGTAAAGCCCTTGAAATTTGACCTTTCAAATGTTTCTAGTACCATATTTGCATTGGATTTGATGTTTAAAGGAAGTGTGGGATAGAGCTTTTGGATAATAAACAATATTTTAGATAGCTGGGTCATTTGAGGGAAGGAGTGCATGCTCTCCAAAGCAGCTGTTTCTTGAGAACTATTTCTGATTCATAAGTTATAATGTAACATTCCTAAAACACAGGTGAAATATTTATGTTGTGACTTCCCTACTTTGAGTGGTTTAGAAGCTTCTTTAGGCATTGGCTTCTTGTAATTTCTGAGCTCCTCTTCCTGATTTTACTTCTTGTCACAGTGGTCACAAGGATTTTCAGGGTGAAGAGAGAGACGAGAATGTTGACCTCATGTTCAGAAGGCTTGATTTATTTTTTTATGATTTATATTACATTATGACTATACTAAAAAGAAATAGAAGGAAAAGTTCTCAGAAGGCTAGCTAAGCTAAGAATAGAAAAAATGAATAACAAAGGAGCTCTCTCTGACTCTGTCCCAGAGAGAGCTCGGTCCTTGATTTGCCATTAAGTGTACACATCCAACATGGGCCAATCACAGGTGCACCTGTTGCATTCCACAGCAGCAGATAACCATCATTTACATTCTTTTTCTGGGGCCTCAGCTTCCCAGAAGGGAAAATCCTAAAGAAAGGATTTTTATGAAAAGATGTCTGTGACAACTTTTGGTATTCTGGAGTCTGTAAAATGCTGCTATAGCCCTTTCTGCTGGCCTAAGATTTTTCTTCTTCGTCATCCAAGTTTGTTATCCTCTCTACAAAATAGATGAGCATGCTCCTGTTATACCTGGCATGTTAATGTAGATAGGAGGAAAGGCTAGCAGAAAATGATTCTGTGGTCCTTCTAAGTGTGTCAATTATTTTATTAATTCACTTTCTTTTCCAGGTTCAGGCAACAGTGGTTGGTTTTCTGGCAGCAGTGGCAGCAGTAATTTTGGGCTGGATTCCAGAGGGCAAATACCGCTTTGATCATTCAGTCCTTTTGTGTTCTAGCAGTGTAGCAACTGCCTTCATAGCTTCTCTTTTGCAAGGTAAAGGGGGTACATGTATTACTTTGTGGTATTTATTTTTCTGTGGATGCAGAATGTGTCTTATGTTGCTATTTCTTTAGAATTTCAATCCGGTAAGGTACAATACATCTGAAAAGCAGCTGAGGATATTGCAGTTTGCAATTTCCATATAGGTGGGCATGTTGCATTCCTCTCCTCTCATAGTCTTTGAAAAGCTTTTGATTTTCATGACCTCCCGAGCATATCTACACAAAAAAGTGGGGTCTTGAGAATTTACCTACTATGATGCACAACTTCTCCCCCGCCTTCTATATTCATTAATGTACAAAATATATTCTTACTACTAAGCAGGTAAAACTTGTTTATAATTCCACTCAAGTGATCCTGGATGTTCGCTTAACTGAATTCAGAGTTCCAGGTTGCCCATGCTGCTTGTGTGTTAGTTTGTGCTCTGCTTTGTGGCTGAGTGAACAATTTGGCTCATTATTTGAAAGGTTTGGACCAAGTTCAGGTCCAGCTATACAAACAGTACCAGTGTCTGTCTGGAGCAATATGGCATGATGAATTTAATTCTCTTCCTAATTGTCAGGAAACATTTAACTATAAAATGTTGTACTTAATGAACAGGAAGGGGAGGAGGAAAGTAGCTCTACTTGTGACATGTTCTTAATGAATACATGGTCAGTAGTCTTAAGAATAGTAAGTCAAGTGAAATGGGTAACTTCCTTGTTTTACTGCTTTGCTATCCTTACGTATGTGAAAATTACAAAATAGTTAAAATTTTGCGTGGAATTAAGAGCACACATGTTTTTTAGAGACTAGAAAGCCACTGACTTTGATCATGTGCAGAATTAAGGGCAGCGAGAAAACTGTGAAACATTAGTGCATGTTTTACACTTCTCATGTATGATTTGGACATGAAGAGAAACTTTGTTTTTTGTCCTGGTGATGTGTCAGTACAGGAAATTACTTTCTAAGCTTTATTCTCCTACATGTGAAATAGGTGCTTTTGCAATATATTTTTACCCTACAGGATCATGCCACTTCTTTCTTTAGAGAATTTCCTAGTGTCTATAATTCCTTAGGCTACAATTCCTTATAAATCCTTAAACTCCTTAAACTCTTTAGTTTCTCTGAAAGTGAACTCCTAATGTAGCATACCATTTATAATATAACATAAAGGATAGCATATACAGTTGAAGTTCTTATGCATAATATCTGATGAGAGGGAAGTTACTCAGGTTGTGCCAAAGACTGTAACAGTGTGAATTTTATTTTTTTGTAGCCACTTAGATTTTGCAAGGAGAATACTCTTCAAAAGTTAGTGTTGATGTTTATAGGAAAAAATACAAATTAGCACCTCTAATTTTTTCAAGTGTGTAGCAAGTAATATTTTTTATATGTTGTCTTGGTATAATTTATTATGTAGCTTCTTGGTTGTTACTTGAAGTTACTGAAAGGTTGTTCTTGAAGTTACTGAAAGGTAACTTCACCTGACTGAAGTTGGATTGGAAAAGGACACACTCCTTTTTTTTTTTTCAGGAAATAGCTGCCTGACAATAGTGCAATCATTCTAGTAAAGCAAAGTAGCTTATTATTCTAATAAGCAAAGTAGTTCATTGTACAGATTGTTGTTGGGGTTTTATGTGTGCTTGCTGTATTTTTAAAAAATGTGTATGTTCATTTTTTTAAATGGCTAAAACTTAAAAACACAGTCGTCAATCAGGAAGGAAGACCAATAATCCTGGGAAAAAAAGCGCTGACCTCTTATTTATTAAGTTTGAAATTGTCATAGTCTTGGGATGTTCTGGGGAATTGCAACAGTGGATGCAGTTACTGTACTGTCTTCTTTGTTGAATTTAGGAGTAATAATGGTTGGAGTTATTGTTGGATCTAAGAAGACTGGTATTAATCCTGACAACGTTGCCACTCCTATTGCAGCAAGTTTTGGCGATCTCATCACCCTTGCCATATTAGCATGGATAAGTCAGGGTCTGTACACTTGCCTTGGTAAGTGTGCTTTTAAATGTGTATGATTCCCTAGGAACCTTTTTTGGGTTAGGAGGGTGGGGAGAAGGCTGGGAGGGAGAACTTCAGCAAACCTTTTAGTCTGACTTACTTTTTTGTCAACATTTATACCATTAAATGGTAAATCTTAGAGTACCATGATTTTTTTCCCTTTTATTTTAATAAATCATAGAAGTCACTAACCTGAACTTCGGCACAATCTAGAAATATTTGAAAGACTTTGACAATATCACAGGCAACCTACATGTGAAATACAAACCATGATAATGAAGAAACAAATAATGTGAAAACATTTTCTCACAGTGGGAAAAGAATGTTAAGAGCCTTATTAAAAATGAAATCATTGCTGCAACTAACTCATGCCATAGAAACGATTAGAAGTTTATTGTGTTTTAAAAGACATAATTGTAGGCAATTATACTATAATATACCACAGATAAAATATTGTGTTGTCCATAACTTACCAGAGATGCTGATATCATCACATATAGTCTTTACAGCTCATTGTCCAAAATTTTTCGTATTTACAACAATTTTCTGTATTATAACATCAGCCAGAAAAAGTATCTAATAAGACTCAAGCTACCATAGTGTGACTTGCAGGGTTTTTTTCAGTGTTTGGTTTTTCATGCTTACAAAGTGTTGTCATGATGTCAGCTTAAATGTATCAGCTTGCAAAAGAAGTATTTTTAAATATTTTCTGTATTTTTGTTAAAATTTAAATAGTATTTTTTGTTTCATAACTATATTTAAATCCTTCCTATTATATTCTAATAACTGTATTTCTCAAATACTTCTTTTAAATGTGTCTTTTAAGGAAGTTTGTAAATTCACAGTGAAAATTGATGAAGATATTTTTTAGCATCTCTTCTTTCTTTTCTTCTGATGAGAGAAAGTCCAATAATGTTCTATTCCTGTTAATCCATCAAGCTAAACAAAAAACACTCAGCCCCCCCAAAAGAGATGGATAAAGAAACTTGGACTTCTTTCTCCCTTTGACACATTTGTAGAAATTTACCTTTCTAGATACAGAAGTCCTAATGTATCTTGGAGGAATAAAAAAAGAAGTGGGTACAGTTTGAACTGATCCTTTGCTGCTTTAATAGCTGTCGTGACCACTCACATTTTGCTCTCCCACTGCAGCTGGAAAGCAGATCCTACATGTGTAGGGGTAAGAATCAGTATGCTTCCAAGAGTTACTCCCGATTTTCTATCTATAATGTCTTCTGGAAATACTTCTCTTTTGGTGAAGTATGTAGTTATCTAGTTGCTCATTCTGCTCTTTGTATTTTTTTCAATGTCTTTGTATTCTTTGGTTTTGGAAACAAGAAAGTCTTTCTAAAGAAAGGACATGCCATGAAGACCTTGGAAACAGGTGGTCTCCAAGATGCATGTGTTTGAACTATGAAACAGTAACAAGGAATAAAAGTATGGAGCACCCTCTGCTCAGGGGAAGTATATCAAGTTGTGAATGGCGGGCAAGAGACATTCAGAGAATGATTAGGCAGCAGGTTAAAAAAGTTAAAGAATTTTTTTTACACAATACATGAATGGGATGTGAAACTCTAATGTTGTGATATATTAAGAGGTCCAGAGTGATTTTAGAAAACTTTGGATAAACCAGTCAGAAAGAAATCCTTTGAGAAGCATTGACGAGACAGATGTAGAGACTTGAGAGATGGAATCCCTGATGCAAAGCACAGCAAAAGCTGGCAGAGCATGCTGAAAGAACCATCACTCTAAACCTGTCATTTTTATTTTCTTCTCCCCATAATTGAACTGTTGACCATAGTCTGACAAAGGATACTAGACTAGATGAGAACTTTGCCTCATCCAGCACAGATATTCTTATGTTCTTTCTATGTTTCCATGCTTTCTCAATGCTCAAATAAGAAGCACAATGGGAATGTTGAAAAGAAATCTTCAGTTTATAGGGTAGTAATGAAACTGGTGGGATTCACTTCTGGACTGTGTTCACACATTTTCCCCTGTGATTTATTAGCCTAACGAATGAAATGGTCAGAAACAAAAATAACTTTCTGGCTGCTCTCTGCAAGGGATGAGTTGTTTTCAGACAACAAGACTGTAAGGATGGAAATGATTTGTGTACAAGCTTTATGTTTGTCTGTAACAGAGGTGTACAGCCTTTGGGTTGTTACAATACTTTATGGCATACCCTGAATAGACAGGGAAAGGCATTTTTACCCAGGCCAGGGCCAAATGAAACACCCTGTTTGGCCACCATCATATATATAATTTTTAAAGGTTCATCTAAGTGCTTCAAAAATAGTGACAAAGTTATCAAACGCGGGGATTCAAATAGTGAAAAGTTAACAGTTCTTAATAGCTCCCGGAAAAGAGCTGTGAATCCTTGTCAAATAGCTGGGGAAAAGCACTAGAGGGCTCCCCAGGACTGTCGCTGGAACCTGGCACATTCCCTCCAACAGAGCACAAGAAGTGCTCTGGAATAGGAACACTCAGTAAATTATATGTGGAGGTCTATGTTGCCTGTTATTTGTCAGTAATGATTTGGAAACTTCTTTAAAGCTTTCAATTTTTCTCACAGAATATGCATTTAGCTCTCATATATATTTGATCCAGGTTGAGAAGACAAAGTGTATGATTCACATTATTGTTTTCAGGTTCTTAGCAGTTGTTTTGAAGCAGTACATTTCCAGTTTACCTCTAATTTCTAATAGAGGCTGCATTATTTGAGCAAGATGTCTTTTCCCATGTAAGCTGCCTGCTATAAATCCAAGAAAAAATGAGTGAAATGAGGTCTAAAAAAGAATTAATTTATTTTCTCTTCCCATTCTTCTGCTATTGTAAAATACGTTTGGTTCTTCTGTGAATTAAATATGAAGAGGAAGATGTCTATCCTTTTCTTGAAAGATGCATCTCAAGGTTAATATTTTTAGATTTTTGTAGTAAGATGTTCTACTAGTAGAGTCTGCCATAGATTTAAAAAAAAAGGTCCCTCACTGTTCCCAAGAGTTAGACTGGAGCTGAGTATTCTCATGGTCTACCTCTTAGGTCACAAAAAGGTGAAAGGATGAAAAAAAGGCCCCAAAAAGTAAGAGGGAGATAATACACTGTAGAATAATTAGATAAGGACAGGAAAAAATTACTTCTCTCTTGGTCTTTGTCTTGTTCTCACACTAAAAGCTTTCTACTTTTAGTTTGCCCAGGGAAACATAACTTACTATGTTATGTAAGTTACCTTACAACCTCTGGCACTGCTGCAGAGGTTGTTACTTGATGCAGAAGGGTAGTAACTTCTAAAAATTCTACAGCAATTCTTTCAGGAGATCTACTATGGTAATATCAAAATAGTAATTGCTTGGATTTGCAACCATTGTAATAAGCCATAACACATGGGTGAGGATATTTTTTATATACCAACTACTCCTCTTTGGTAGTGTTTGTGTGATCTATATTAATTATTTCAACCTGTTAATTCAAAATATATTTTGCTTTAAGACTTGTCTAAATTTTGAAGGTTTTATCAAAATGTGTTTTAGCATTAGGTACATGACCACACTTCTCATAAAACCGATATTTAAAAATGAAATATTTGCACAGTTTATACATATATATTTGCCATTAGGATAAATTTTCCGTTATTTACCTCACTGTTGAATTAGGAAGTTTTGGATCGCTGTAGTAGCTTCTGTGAGGATGGGATTATAAAACCAATTCATCAGAAAAAAATAGTGTTCTTTCTGTGGAAGCAACTGTTTACTTTACAGTCTCAGCTTTATGATCGTACTCACCAGTGTTTGCAGTTGTATTCCTATGAAATAGGATGGAATTGTCATGGGTAGGGGCAGGCAGCAGAATTGCCTGTTAATTCTCAGACTGGCTATGAAACAACTGAGTTATTGATATAAATGTCTCAATTTTGCACATCGTGCTTGAATCTTTTTAGATATGCTATTTCTGGAAGGATTACCATTTTACCTGCTTTGGGAAGAAGGGAGTGTACATATGCTAAGAATTTGGATATAAACAAAATGCATTTTCATTATATTCAGTTTCTTTTAAACATTTTTCTTCAGTTACAAAGTAATGTTTTGTATTCTACATCCTTACTGTATTTTTTATCATAAAGCATTATACAAAAATCCTTTTCAAAATTCATTCTTTGTACTGATGGTTCTGTCCTTGAGAAGATGAGAGACAGTGATCACAGATGGCAGATATTAACCATATTGTTTAGTGCAGTAGTTGAAACTTCAGGTGTAATGGTAATGAAGACTATTAAAATTTCTCAATTGTATGGCATAGATCATAATTTATTTTAGATATAAATAATTTCTAAATTAGGAAAAACATGTAGGAATATTTGGAGAGTAAAAGAAGGGTTTTTTTTCTTTATTATTATTTTAGAGACATATTACTATGTATCTCCTTTGGTTGGTGCCTTCTTTTTGGCTCTGACTCCAATGGGGATTGTCATAGCTGCCAAACACCCAGCTACCAGAACTGTCCTCCGCTCAGGATGGGAGCCTGTTATAACTGCCATGATTATTAGCAGGTAGGTCTCTTTGTCTTGCTGTATGGAAGCATCTTGATTGTCCTCCTGTATCTCTGTGTATCTTACTTGATTGTACTTGGGAGACACAGTTAAGGCCCTCTAGAATTTAGACTTTGGAATTTTGCCTCTGATCTAAGAGATTATTTAATCCAATGAAAGTTATGAATCTTAAAAGTAGAGGAATTGGCTAATGCTCTGTGGTCTTTGTTATACAAGAGCCAGTTTTAATAAGTGAATAGCTATTGTGATGTTAGTCTGTAGCTGAGAATGAAGTATTGATCTTATATTTAATGATCTTGCTTGCCTTATTTTAAATATTGTACTTTCCTTTCAGTATTGGTGGCCTTATTCTGGACACGACAGTATCTGATCCTAACTTGGTTGGAATTGTTGTTTATACCCCGGTAATTAATGGTAAGACTCTGACAGGATTAATTGCTACTATGTATCAATTGATATACCTTGTTTTGAGACTTGTCTATTACAGTAAATTTCTCTTGTGCTAATTAATGTCTGGAATATTAATTTCAAGTTTTGGTTTTGATGTCAACAGCTGTTTATTTGAACACCTGAGAAGTGCTTCCTGTTTTCACTACAACCACCGAAACATAATAGAGAATGTGAGAAGTAGAAACCTCAAGTATGCATTAAGAAACTGAAAGTGTAAATATTGAAAGAGTATATTCAAATATTAAATTATCAAATATTATATTGAAGCAGTTATGTCTTGGAAAATGTAGATTTTTTTTTATTTCAAACGTTTTTTTTTCCCTGAACATCCAAGACAAATTTTCAAACAATAATTTACTATGCACCTGTAATGTATATAGATGTAAGAACTAAGAAGCATACTTACAGGCAAGTAAATGCATTTCTCAAGGTAAATGTGTGCTCTTTCTGGTGATTGGTATGCACTTTTGAGATGAATAAAGAATGAATTTGTGGAAATTTCATCGTTAAGTGTTCTACCTCCTAAGGATAAGAACAAGCCAAATTTCAGAAGAATAGTTTATATCTTGTTAGGCTGGTGCAGTTTGAAAATTTCTTTCCTAGTACAGTACCACAGAGTTGATACCTATTTGATTTGCAACAACTATAATCACCAGCTCTGTTTCTACTGTGTTGCTGTCTAGCTGTTCTTTCTCCTTTTTGTGTTTTTCCATTTGATTTCTTACACTAATTTGCACTTTTATGTATTGTTATTAAAACCATTTCTCTAGTTACCAAGATGATTCTGTTTTAACTTAAGTTTGCCCTTGCAAGTTTCATACGAATATGTTCTATTCTGTTTCCTAAGCTATAAATGAAATTAATTATGGCCACTTCTTTTCCACCTTGATAATAAGATGTTAATAATGGTCGCTGGATTTTAGTTTTGAACCACATTGCCTTGATATAATTAATTTTCCAGACACTGTTAATGGAAATGTAACACTGGACAGTACCTAAACATTTTATAAGCTTTACTGTGGTTGAGAGTTAGTAGATCTATTGTTACCAACATTAAACAAGCTGTTCAGTTAGAGACTTTGACAGAAGCATGTTATTGGTAAATTCATGTTAGCCCTTGTTTTACAGCTTTCATGTCTTCTGGATGCTTATAAATTGTCTTTTTAATAATTCGCTCTAATTCTTATGCAGGAATATAAATTTCACTGACAAACAGATTCTCATCATCCTTTTTGACCCATTTTAAAGATATATTTTCTGTTTTCTCCACCACAGCCCTCAGGTATTCTCTAACCTCCAAAATAATCAGTTTGCAAAAATGATGACTAATACTTTATGGATTGTTCATTTAGCTCTCTAGATGCAGTAAATCTAACATAACTCCCAAGCTCTAGTATTTATTTACTTGTGATCAGGTATCACCATTTTTATGAAGGCAATAGACAAAAGAAACAGACTATTTAAGTCTTCAGCAGAGTATGTGGCTCTGCTCATGCTTGCTCTTCTTTTTCACTGAGGCCCTCTATTTCCTTTCTTCTTACTTTTGATGTGAAACACTTCCATGTTGCAACTTGAGTTCCTTACTAACTGTAAATGAAATTTTACACTGCAGCCATTAGGTTTCCGTATCTGTTCCTTGCCTTTCTATTAATTCAAAATTGTAAATACTTGCATCTAACTTTTGTGTGTTTCCATTTTGATTTCCAGATACCTAAAAGGAAAGGCAGATGTGTTGATCTCCAGCTTTTTTTCTGCTTTACACCTGTAACTTTTCTTATAGTAGTCCTTTTTTGGTTAACCCCCTGGATTTGCTTCCTAAGAGAAGAGGATTGTTCTTTTTTCTTTTTAGGCAGGTGTACCCAAACCAGTATTAAGGCAATGCCCATACATGCTTTTGAACTGTCTTTATGGGAAAAGAACTAGCCAAAACCTAGAGCCCTGGAGGTTTAGCTGACAGGTCAAAACGTCCTTGAAGAGTTAGGCAGGTGTAAGAGAGGGGAAGCTGAGGCTGCTTCAGCAGACAGGGAAGGAAAGAGTCTTTCCAGGAGGCTGGCATTGCAAGAGTTACACTTGACTCAGAATTCTAAAGGTAGAGGCATTTCTATTGGAAAATACAGAGAAGATGTGTTCTCTGTAGAGGATGCAGGGGTTTATGGTACACCTCCTGGAAAAGGAAACTATAGGTAGGTAATTTTTTGGGTTGCTGTTAGATTAGCCTCTCCTGGGTTTCATAATTCTACTGACACCTTTTGATTTTGCTGGTCAGTACAGTGTAGTAAACTGGGGGTAAGGCAGTTCTTCAGTTAAAAAAGTACATCTGTTGACATTCATTTACTGACATGAAAGGTGTGTTAGGTCACTTAACAGATGGCTTTTAAAATATTAGTGTTGCAGAAAGTTTTCTCTACCTTTCTTGGCCTTGGAATTCTCATTGTAAGCCTAAGTGCTGAAAGAAATTGAGGGTTTCCCTCTTCTATTTTCTTTTACCTTAAAGTTTGTTGCTCCTATGGCACAGAAAACCTGGGGGAAAAAAACATCAGGGAAACCTGAAAGAAATATTCTTTTCTATTGGGAATTTGTCCAGCCAAAATTTGAGAACATTGTAAATTTGTCCAGAATTTCAAGCTGTCACTGTTTTTTCAGGGCCATTTGCTGTATCTTGAACACCTGAACAATATTGACTGCAAAATGCTCAGGTGTTAGATAGGTTTCCTGTGCACCATTAAGTAGGTTTCATTCAAGTCCTGCCTAGATAGTTTGCTTATTCTTAGATGTGAGACAAGTGACTTTAATCATGTCTTACACTGTGGAGCCATAAATATTTTAGAATATTGAAGATATTCAATATTCTAAAGATACTCTGGTCTGAAACTTGAGCAACCTCAAAGTTTCCCACTCCTATTAACAATACCTACAAATATTTGCCCGAAATATTAAAATATTTTTTAAGCAGAAAGGCATTTATAGTCAGCTTTACAGCCAGTGGCCAAACATATTTCACAACTGTTTTTTCTATTTTTCTCACTGTTAGACACATGTTTAATTCTATGGTTGGCTGGGTTAAATTGCATCTCTGCTTTTTGAAAATAAACAAATGATTTTGTTGTTTCAGGCAACTTGCAGACTATTTGAGATTTAGATGTCTCTTTTATGTACTGAAATTCTGAATAAAATAACTAAGTCCAAGTGTGGCTATGCTTCATTCTAGAGTTGATTTTGAGTTGTGTTTTTTCATGAATTAAAATTTGCAAATCCTGTTATGGCATCACAGCATGTTGAATTTGGCTCAGGATTTGCAATTTGCAAGTAACTGAGTTTCTTTTGTGCAGAAAAAAAAGATAATATTACATGCTTCTGAATATGCAACAGAAATGAGCTAAGGTGCAGTTACCAGATAAAGCCACTTTCCTCTCCATTTTTATGTGTTTATACAAAATATTGTGAGATGTCTTCTAAGTATTTGCATTTCAGAAGTTACTGGGTAATAACCAACATGTCAGTAGACTTTACCCCATTTTTATGCACCTTAAAGTATGACAATTCTGCAAATTAATTCTTAAAACACCTGAAATTTGGAAATGCTTCATATCAAAAAACTTTCCTTTGCAGGTGGTTTAAAGCAGTACTCTTTACAAACCTGTTCTAATATTTTTTACTCTTTGGCTGTTCATACTTTAAAATTATTTGCTGTCTGGTGGGAATACATAGCTATTGAGGAATATGAGAAACACATATAGGAAAATTTAATACAAGACATAGTGAATGCCAGTTGTCTGGGAGATGAAAATTAAGCTTATAAAATACATTCCCCAAAACATCCCTTTTTTATCTGTTAGTAGGGTAAATTGAATGACAGACTTTCAGGTTTTTCAGAGAGCTTTTACTGTAAATTGTTTTGGAGAATATGGAAAAAAAACCCCGAGAAACCATTCTTTCTCCTCAAAAAACCCCAGCTTTTAATAGCTATTTATTTATATTTCTTTTAGTATAATTGTACTTTGATTTTTCCCACAACTGAGTGATGTTTTGATTAGAATATAACCATGTCTCAGAGAGCTGAGCATCTGAAATTTGCCTCTGTAAATCACAAGGGAAAACATTAGTGTACCTGGATGAGAGTAGAGCAATTTGGCTGGGTAGAAATTATTTTTTCTGCATACTGAGTTGGAAAGAATGTGTTAGTCTCAGAAGGCACCTCTACTGTATGAGAACTGTATAATTCAGTCTTTATTTTGGTGTTAATAAGGAGGAGGGTTTTGATTTTTGTTATTTTCTTCTGATGCATTATTAGGTAATAGATTTACTACCTTTTAGTTGCTAATTTGTACATGTAAATCTGCATATACTTTCAGTGTGTGATCTTTCTTTTAAGTCTTACTTGTAATTGTAAATTTTTTAGAAGATTTCAGTAATCATGGTGTTGTTTTCACAACGCAGTTATATCCAGAGCATTTTCATTTCTTGACATTTTTTATTAGTCATATGAAAGGAATTATTTATGAGTCAAATCAAACTTGGAATGTAATAGTTGCATATATAATAAAGCTTTCTCCTAAAAAAAGTCCATCTTGGTAAAGCTAATATTTTCCATCTGCTTTTCCCCAAACATTTGAAAGTACTAAAAGACATGCTTCAAAATAAAATGGAAGATAAATGAAGAAAAGCCCATATGAAGAGGTAGCTAGTTAGGTTTCTAATCTAAGTATTTCACTTGCATAAAACAGGATTTTTAAAAGTTAATGGTAGAGAGGTTGGGGCATTCATCTTGCATTTTCTGAAAAATAAGATGATTATTGCAAAATTTAGAGTTTTCAGTCACCATTGCAACTGAGATTCTTTTCATCCTTTTAATTTCATTATTATGATGCAAATGTTGAACTTCAAAAATGCCTGTTTGGCAAAACTGACTATTTTGAACGGTGGATTGTGCTCAGGAATGTGCAAAAATGAGAATCTTCTAGCCTTCCCTCTCTTAGATAGATTTACAAGAAAGATCAATTTGGGAATTATGTTGGCCTGATTTTCCCCTTATGTAGATATTAATTGATTTTAGGCATTTTACAACCTGTATTATAGCTGCTTGGGAACAACACATTATTCTGTGGCTGATTAATCCCTGTCCATAGAACTGGGTTTCTAAAAGTCTTTAATCTCAGGTTTGCTTTGCCTGTTCTTACACAATTTTTTGTGTGCCTCATCATGCAACTATTTATATTTTCATGAACAGTCATAGCAGTGGTCATTAAAGCTGAGTATGTTCACTTTATCTGGTGCTCTCAATACTTTAATTTGAGGCAGTTTCCTACAGGAATAATTCTTCAATTATATGTATCTAAGGAAATGATCAAAAAAGAAGAATGAAGTGGGAACTGACAGGGTTCATATATATAGGTAGTTGAATACTGCTCTGAACATTTTATGTTGCCTGTTGTACAGTTGTCCCCTTGTATTAAACAAGTACCTAAATAATGATTTTTTACTGGTTAATAATAACATGATGCATGGGGTTGTTCCTACTCAGATGGAGGACTTTGCACTTCCTTTTGTTGAATTTCAGGAGATTTCTCTTTACCCAGCTCTCCATCCTGTCCAGTTCCCTCTGAATGGCAGCACAACCCTCTGGTTTATCAACTACTCCTTCCAGTTAATTAACTGCCTTAATAAAATGATGAGGTTTTAAATTTCCTTTAAAGTTGTAAGTCAGTGTGACATCCTTTGCACTTTAGCACACAACATGTCTTTGCTTATTGACAAAGCAGCACTCTCGTATTGAAGTAAAACACATTTGCTCTTCTGAGAGGAATGAAGTAATAATTGCTGGATTTTACTTTTAAAATAAATCGTTTCCCCCTATGTTGTAGTATAGTATTTGCTATGGTGGCTGCAGTAGTGTTTTCCAGGAGAAAAATTTCTGGATTAATCAAATGTTGATGTAAACAGTCCTCATATACATCCACAGAGCTTTTAATAATATGAGCAGCTACTGAGCATGTGACTATTTTATACATTCAGAAGATGCTGAGAAGTTATCAGTTTTACATATCAACACCTTGCCAACCTATGCAGTTTTATCTGTTTTCTGTTTCTTGCAGAGATCTGATTAATCTGGTGTAGCTGAGATGGTTATTGCACATGCACAGTAGCTGCTGTTACCAAACAAACTGAATATCTCTGTACATATGAAGTGATTCATTCAGCCTTATACGAGTCATTCGGTGACCAGCAGAATAGTGAGACCTGACTCTGTTCTCATTTGTATCCTACGGTTTTTAGACAGTCTTTTCAGCCTGTGGTACTCTGTATTGACTCATGTTCCTGCTATACCCACTGCTCACAACATCATCTCCATTTTCTCTCTGCTTTCCACAGCATTGCCATTCATCTTCTGGCTCACTGAGCTGCTGGCTGAGCAAGAGGCATCATGCCTCTCTCCAAGCTGAGTGCTGACTTGCCAGCTGGCCTGCTTATGCTTATGCCATGAACTATATAGCTCATATTACTGTCTTTGGTATCACTGAGGACATGGCTTTGGATCTTTTCTTTTATTCATCTAGTCGCTGTTTTGTTTTTGGTAGATTGTTTAAATATGCCTGGAAGTAGTTACCATGTCTGTCCTTCTGTCAGATGTGGTTGAAATTGGTCGAAAAGTTCAAAAACAAGTTTTTAGGAATTGAAATTGAATAGTGAATGAGCAGAACTAAAATACAGTGTCACTGCTGCTGTGACCACCATACATTGTTGGCTGGCTGAGACTGAGACTATGGATTCTAGAAGCATTTACACTTCACTATACCTGACTATCTTCTGTGAGTTCAAATTATAATTATATCACTAATATTAGTGATATAATTTAAAATAATTTTGCTAAACATACAAATATTTCATTTTCATTTAGCTAAAATAGATTGTTCAACTCAGCTGTAGTTACACCTCTTGAAATCACACTCTGCACTGGCTGTTCCGGTTAGCTTGTCAGCTTCCTTTGCAGAGCAGCTATCACCTCTTTTACCTGTATTCCATGGCTGGCCAGTTTCTTTTAGCATAATTTTTGATACGTGTCAGTAATTTCTTGCTATCTACATGAGCAATAGGGCTTGGGGAATACTTTCTCTAAATGATGGGTATAAAAGTGAAAAGGTTTGTCATTAATAGCTTTCCATCAAAGGATTGACAACCAATCTTACACCTTCTTTCATAGACTTGTCAATGTCTGTTGTCCAGACAGATTTTTTAATCACCATTTCAAGTGAATTTATTTCTATCTTCCTTAATTCTTTTATCTCATTCAGTTTCCTGTATTGTTAACTGGGAAAAAAAGTCCAGATCACCTGTTATATTTCTGTGTCTGAATTTGTTGAAGCAAATAATTATCAGTCACAAAAGAAGACTACATACATCCTAGAAAATGTTTAAAATCTAGAGAGTTGTGCCAAAGTGGTTTGTAGGTGCATTGCTAAAAACTGAAACGAGCCCTATGTACTTCTGTCTTTTATTTCTTTTTGTAGTGCTATAAGAGAAGCAGATAGTTGCAGAATATTTTACTATTTTTTTTCTCTTAATATTGTTGTGCATAAATCAATTATTGCAGTTTTTAGCCTGATTGTAATTACCCAGATTGCCTTTATGGCCTCACTTTTAGCAGAAACTTTCATATTTTCCAGTTATATGGCACTATCTCCACTTTGTAGCTCTATTAAGATGAGGTTTTACATGACAGCTTTTTCATAATTCAGTCATTGAAGTTACCTGATCCCCTTCCAAATGTAGTACATTGATCCTTAATTTTACTTCTGCCTCTCTTTCTGTATCTTATTCTCCCTAGTCAAAAATATCTAATTTATTATTCTCAATGGAAGGACACATTTTGAGTCCTATTTAGATTAGTTTAAATAATTTTAAATCTCTCCTAATTTAGATAAATTCCTTACTTTGGTACTTTTCTTGTAGTTCATCTGAAGAAAGATCTACTACTGTTTTAATTTTCTTTGCTAACTCTCACTCAGCCTTTTGGTAGTTCTTCTTTTATCCCTGTTTCTCCTGACTGGGAACATGCATTTCCTGATTTGTATCTGACATTTTTCTTAAAAGGCCTTTCTTGTTAGCTTCAGCCATTTATTATCATTAACTAGCAGTGAGGCAGGACATCTTTCAGATCTCAGTATTAGATCTCTGTGCTAACCACTCTGTAATCACCAAAAGAATTTGGGAAACAGTACCTTCTGTTCACCACAAATACTTGTTCTGCAACCAGACAAAGCCCTAAGCATCAGATAAACAAATTAATTCAACTACAATAAACAAGGCCTTTCTCCTTCTGATGTGGGGACAAGATCTGCATTACTTCTGCATCTTCTCAGACCAACCCATTGCTATGTAAAGCATCCAAATCAGGGAAAGAAAAAGCATGTGCTTGATATGCAAGTAGACAGCAACAAAGTATAATATTAGGAGGGTTTCATGTTACTGCACTCTGCAGTGTGGATGTAACAAGTTGTTTTAGTTATGTGTTCGTTGAAGTAAAAATTCACAGGACGTCAAACAGCCTAGAGTGGAAGGAACCTCGAAATATCATCTGGCTCAACCTTATGTGAGAAGGGCAGACTGGATGAGATTTTCTGGCACCTGCTCCAGTCACATCTAGAAAATCTCCTGTGAAGTGGACTCCACCATGTCCCTGGGGTGGTTGTTCCATTGAATTTTTCTCACCCTAACAGATTTATTTTTTATATTGAGGTGAATACTCTGCCAGTACAGCTTGTACTCGTTGCCCCTTTTCAGAAAGAAACTAAAATCTCTATCACTACCATTCTTTTAACAATCAGCTCTTCAGACACTCATCTTCCTCTTTCAGCCTGAGTTAAAAGTGGCGGAAGGCTATAGTTACTCATGCTTTGTCTCAGAGGGGAATGAATATATTAACTCTTGAAGCCTTCTCTGGCCCTGTGGTCGTGTGTGAAATCTGCATTTATGTTTGTGTTAGTGAGCTTTCATTACTTACCCTGGCCAGAAATATTCCCCTGCGGAGGTAATCCAGCAGTTTCACAACTGTGTCATACTTCTGGTGATCCAAGAGGGGTTTCCAAAGAAGAGGCAGTGATAAAAAAGAGTTTCACCTATGAGAAAGCGTAAGATTGAACCTTTTGGACTTTCTGCTCTTGCCATGGTTCAAAACTGATCTCCAAATTCCCAGTGATACATTAAACTGTAGCCCACATTTTTTGGACTGATTTTAATGACTTGTAGCCTGTCTACAACTAATATACATTCTAAAGATATTTTTCATTTTGGCTTTTGTTTGCAAGGTAGTGTGATAAACACAGAGGAAGTTGGTAAATGTGCAAAAATATTGCCTGCTAGAGGAAAAAAATACTTGAACATTTTTCATTGGTTTCCCTTTGCATTTCAGGTATTGGTGGCAATCTAGTAGCTATTCAAGCTAGCAGAATTTCTACCTACCTCCATTTACACAGCATTCCTGGAGAGCTGCCAGAGGAGGCCAAGGGTTGCTATTACCCATGCAGAACATACTGTGGTACAGGTATGTCTGAGTTAAAAATCCTGTCTCACATCTCTTTATCCCTGTGTGCCAAACTGTATCACTAGTGAGAAATGGCAATGAACTGAACTTGCTGTGTGCAATTCAAAGGCTGGGTGAGGCTTGGCAGTTTCATTTACCTGAAAATGAAACTGCCAAGCCTCACCCAGCTCACACAGCTGTTTTTGCCTGTGAGAATCACAGAAAACTCCCGGAGGGATGGATTAGCAGAGAGGAGCACAGAGAAGCGTGAAGCCCCGGAATAGGCTGGTGAGGCAGGACACCGGGATAACCACTCAGAAAGGTTTCAGCCTTCAACTTTCCTTAGCTTCTCTACCTGCTCCCAAGTTTTGTCTGCCTTCAGAACTTCAAACCAATTTCCTGTTAGGGCCAAACGGACATAATTACTAAGCCAAATCCCTGCTTTCCATTTCCAGTTTGCCATTTTTTCTCTAGATTATTTATTCACAGGTTATTCCTCCCCTGTATTTGCACTTTCCTAATGATGTAGTAACTGTTGTGAAATGTGATGTGTCACCACTGTGTATTACACTTCCATATTTATTAAATGAATTGAAACAGATGTGAAAGTGGTAAATGTGGGATTACTTTCTAGAAATATAAGGTATTTTTGAGGATGTCTTGAATATGGAGTCCAAAAGATCCTCTTTACTAGTAAGACTTTAGGAAGTCCAAAAATGTAGATGGTATTACATGAGCACAGAATGAAGGCAGTTTGCACCCTTTTCCAGAAGGGCTCTGCTTACCTTTTCTGGAAGACAGTGACATTCCTCTGGAGTTTTTTAGTGGAAAATAATGCCTCCTGTTTCACAGTAGCCAATGCTGTGGAATTCCAAAAATGGGAGTTTTTATACTGAAATGAATAAAAATCTAATATAGGAATTGAAGAGCTTAACCAAATGTTGTATTTTTTTATTTTTATTTTTTTTTTATTGTAGGAGTAAATAACAAATCAGCCCAAGTTCTACTTCTCTTGGTGATTCCTGGACACTTGATTTTCTTGTACACTATCCACTTAATGAAAAGCGGACATACTTCCTTAACCCCCATCTTTATAGCAGTCTATTTGTTGGCAGCTCTGCTACAGGTAAGAATAAGTACAACTGGCAAATGCTTGTATAAAATCAAGTTCTTGAAGAAAATAATTTTTTTTCTGGTATCTGAAATTGTATGAAGGGTACAAGAAGGTGTGGTTTAATAGAGACTTTCAGCACAGTTCTGGATTAGCTGATTATCTGCACAAGTATACAGTTTATGCAGGTGTACTGTTATTGTGAGTGCTTTGCAGAACATACTTGACTGCATTATCTCCTTGTCATGTATTTTTCACCTGCTTTTGGAACCATTGCATCTAAACCCCCATCATTGTAATCAGCTAGAGGGGAAATGGAAAGAAGAGAAGGGAAATGGAAAGAAAGAAAGGTAGCATTTATGAATAATGAAAGTCGAGGAAAACTGTTAAAAAAATCTCCTAAAGTGGTTCACGTTACTGTTTCAGTTAACATAGTCCAGTAGATGAAAATATTACAGCTTCCTTGGTGTGTTCTTAATATTTATTAGTTTAAATTAATATGACAGCAAACACCGTACAAGAAATTGTACTTGCATTAATTGTCAAACTTCGTTACCTTATTTGGCTGTTTTACCTAATGGTCTGTTCATAGCCAGCAAGGGCAGTTCTTGAAAGATGCCTTTTGAAATAGCAATGTCTTAAAGTGAAATGATTTCATTTTGAGAAATCACTAATACAAAATAAAATATTTTATTAAAGCCACACCTAATTTTTAGGTATAACTTGCCTGAATTAACTATAATGTTTCATTACACCTTAAAACCAAAAAGTGACTGTTTGTGTTACACAGTAGAAATGTAATTGCAATATCCATAATATAAATATATGTGCTACTTAAAAAAATGTGACCAATTAAGTTTTAGAAAACAAACAATGACATTATCAACAGGTCAATACTTAATGAAATGATAATTTTTAATGTTCTGAATTGTCCCATTTTTTTCACACTGCTATCTCAATAAGGACAGGTTTCAAAAACTGTTACAGTTTTACATGGGAATTTTATACCTTTCTGGTAGAACATGACTGGTAATGTTTCAACCTTTGCAAGTGAGAGTGTCATACTAAAAGACATAAATTAGTTTTCATTTCCTTCTTATATAATATTCCTAGTTTCCAACCTTATCACTTGCTTTATAATGTGTTTTCCTGAGGAAATGATGCTATTCCTTTACTCTGTCTGTTCTGTCTGGGTTGGGGCAACAGCCCCTGGTAATGGAAGATTGCAGAGTGATTCCCGTCAGTATTAAACTTCCAAGATTTCCTGTGGGAATCAACCTGAATTCATAAATCCAGTTCTCCTGCTCAGAGAACTACAATCACAGCATGTTTAGGGACAATTTCTTCAGCAGCAAGACTTGACAAATGCAGAAATCTCAGGTTTTCACCTGAAAACCTGAGGCATTATGGCAGAACTCTCAAATGACATAGTAATTTAAACCCAGCAGCAGCACGTATACAGGTGTAAAGTTGAATTTTCATTAATTCAGGATCTGATTGGAGTATTCAGATTTTAGTCATGTATGTCTATTGCAGTACATCAGGCCACACCTGATTTTCTTGATTTTTCACCAAGAAAGCAGACACAGAGCTTTTCTCTTTTTTTTCCCTGCTCCCTTTTATGGATTATTTTTTCCTCTCTATCTTCTGTCTTTAGTCATAAAAGGCAATTTGAGATGTATTTACTTGGAAACTGAGTACCAGTATTGCAAACTATAACTTCTCATGGGTCTTGACATATTTACAATTTGAAACCCTTTGGTTTTAAAGACCTGGAAATATTTAATAGATTCCCCATTTGGATTATTCTGGCATTTCTCTAGTAGTGATTATTGTAGTGTTGCATACCTCTAATTAGAGCAGATTTAGTTTTCAGAGAGATGATGCTTGCTTTAACCCTTAAATCTTCATCACAGTTTATTTACCTGTCGGTCCGTAGTACTTCTTACTGCAGTTTCATGCTTTTAAGTTTCTCCTGTCTCAAGGAAAGCACTTAAATATTTGTACTCATTCCTCTTCCCTTTTTCAGTGACAACATCTATACGCCTGCAAACAGTAAAAACCAGTTTTCAATCTGCCATTTATTTTGGCATAACCTAATAGCTACTGATCTTATTTTTCCTGAATTCTTTTATATTTTTGCCCTCTCAGTGAGAGCTTTACCAGTTCCGCTGTAAAACTGAAAAGCCTCACAGCTAAGTATTATTATTTCAATTAACAACAAACTAAATGCATTAACAGTCTTTTGAGCAGTGAGAGATCTGCATTCTCTTTTTTATAATATGTTGGACTTTGATTTATTTTCACTTTGCGTGGAAGATACATGAAAATGGATGTCAAAAATTAAAATCCTGCTTGCAAGCTGGATATTTTGTGTTTGAGGTGGTAGATGATAATTTAGCAGAATACAGTGTTGATATCACTGTTTTGACCTTTGCCATCCCTTACTTGTATTGAGCTGGGGGCCAGAAAGTGTTGCTAAAAATGATTATGGCAATATACCAGCTATGTAGGTTTTTCCTCACTATGTTAAAAAATAATGCTAAATTAAAAAATAACAACAGCAATTAAATTAGTTTTATGTCTTTAACATTCAAGTGACTATTGTAAGGTGTTAAATTATTTAATGACATATTTCACAGTGGACTGCAATAGATTGTTAATTGACTTTGATTCTGTTTATTATTTCTGACAGTCCATCTCTGTTTATTTAAAATGGAGAGGAAAGGGTTAGAGAAATGGCAAATGTAGAACTCTAAATGGAATGTTGGAGTAAATGGGAAAAAAATCAAGAAAATGTTAATGCAAAGATATTGATTATTCCTTTTATATTTTTCTCTGTCTCTATCAGTTTATGCTATCCTACATTATTTCTACAGTAAAACTGTAACATGTATATGAATTCTATTTTCCATTTTAACAAGACTTTTTCAAATTGCCTGTAAACTACACTATCCATCCCAAAGTGATAAAAATGGAATTTATTTGCATTGAAAGCTCTGTGCAGCATCACTGAAGTTCCACTCAGATAGTTTAATTTTCAACCAAATCTGATGAAATTCATCTTTGATTGTTTTTTTCACCACCCAGGCCTACCAGCTTCTTTCATCTCATCTCCCTACCTGTTCTGAGGTATTCTTAGATATTTTCTCCACAGCATTTCATTAAAATAAGCTATTTATGGGAACTAAATAATTAACATGCCGTGATGTATTATCAATAGTATAATTCACTTTTTATTGGTTGAAAATATGCTGTGTAATAAAACGAAGTGCAGTTTCCCTGAATAAGCAGTTTTTTTCTAAAAATCATTACATTAAGATATTTTAAGTAATATGAGTAGTCAGAGCTATGGTTTGCATTCTTTTTGATTCTCTGTGAATGAGACTGTTCTGGGTTTCCAAGCTTAAGAAAAACCAGAAAACATTTTATTTAATTTCATTTTCATTTTCCTATCCTTAATAATACAGCTGTTTCTAATCTTTAAATAAATATACATTCTTGAAATGTTCTTCAATTAAATTTATAAACTGATTGTCTTGACATCCAAGGCTGTACTCACTTTAACTTGAGAGGGGCTGGGATTTCACAATTATTTTTCCATAAAGGGGGAAAAACTGCACAATTATTTATATTAATCTGCATTCAGGTAAAACTTTTAGGCTGAAGTCTAAAAGGTTTAGCTCTGTAGTGAAGAGACTTTTCTGTGTTTATGAATGGCAGCACCAGAGGAAAATGCAATGAAAGGCACAATGGGGATTGTATACCCTGTAAGCATGAGGATGCTTCACACAATGCACTGTACAGTATCAGGGCAAGCCAATGTGCCTAATCAAAGCCAGTATAATATTATAAAGTGCTGTTGGATTTGGTGAGTGTTCAAAAAGAAAATTCTTTCCTTGAAAGTCTTACAAGAGCAAGCCACAAACATGCACCAGCATACTGCATGCAGTTATAATATGGCATTTGACAGATGAAGGTTCTGTTAACTGGGAAACAGTCCTCCTCTTGTTCCCCACAAAGGCACAAGTATTTTTTTTCTGTTTGAGGCTGTGCATCAAGTAGAGCTTCATCCCCTGTCTTGTCAGGCTGCAGCAGAAGGAGAGCAGCACTGGAATTGCCAAGCTGTCAGTCCTGGTGCACGGCTCAGGGCGCTCAAAGGCAGCCTCTATTCTGTGTGTTCTCACTGAGCCAGTAAAATGCCCTGTCAGGAATTTTCACACCTACTGACCAAATCTGAACACACAGTTATGTTAAAGTCTCAGGGAATAAACAAACAATAGGAGATTCCCAGAGCTATTACCAAGCAAATAAGTAATTCCAAAATTCTTCTTACCCAGTGAAGGTCAGATGTGCACAGCTGTGAAGTCACTTTTGCAGTGCTTCAGGGCTGTTTGGGGCAATAGAAAACCAAGAATTCAGCAGTGCTTATAACGATTTCCAGCTTACATCAAAAATGTCTAGGATTTCTCACCAATGTGAGGCTTCTAATGATGGTATGGGCCTCTTTAATGTGGAAACATAGCTTGTGGGATATACTGTACGTTACAGAGAAAAAAGGAAGGTTGTGTTTATAGACAAAATATTGATGCATTTCAAATATTGCTTTTTCTAACAGGAAAGGTTACTTCCAAAAGATGAAGTGTATAACTGCTAAAGAGACTATATTTCAAGGAAATACAGAAAGCCAAGCCCAAATCTGGACAGTTCTGTATGTTCAGTGCTTTCTCCTTGCAGCATGACAAGCAGACTTGCTAGACTCATTGGGGTCTGACCATGGGTACAACAGCTCCTTCCTTTCCAGCCATGTTGCTGTCTGGGGTAGAAGCCCAGCTCCTACCGAGTCATAGCAGGGATTTGTCATTTTTGCCTCCAGAAGGCTGGGCTCAAAGTGCTTGTGTATGAGCATACCAGAGCACTTACTGGTCTGGGTTACACATGTTAGCGAGTAGCTGAGAAACAGCCTGAAATTAGGACTGTTTTGGTGAAACCAGGGTGTCTGGCAAAGCTACAAAGAAATCAAGATGACAATATGAAAAACTTATATGAAATATGAAATCTAAAAAAAAAAAAAAGAGTTCCTTCCCACAAAATTAGGTCAATATAATGAAATTGACTCAGAAACAACTTCAGTTAAAGCGGTTTCTTTTTTTTACTTCAAAGAGGTCTTAGGGTGACATCAGTGTATGCTGTGCTGTCTGGATACTTGGATACCTTAGAGGAGCTGATGCCATTTACCTACAACAGAAACAACAGCAACAAGAAAAAGCTTGCTGTTCAGTGGTTTCTTTGCAGCCAGGCATTAAAGGAAATCTCTGCATGTTTGGAGGAAACAGTGTCTTGTCCCCTCTGGACATGACACATGCCAGATACTCTACCAGAGAAAATCATACAGAAAAATGTCTTTTGAAAAATGGGTGTAGTTCCTAGTCTGAGAGTTCACTGACTACAAATTTCTGACTGTAGAAATGGAAACTCAGAGAGTTCAGTGTAGATCTACTACAAGCACTTTACAGTTACTACTTCATCAAAAGCCATTTAAAATTGGAGACATGTCATGCATAATTTGAAAATGAACTTCATGAAGGGTCAAAGCCACTGGAAGACTTAAATCATAACTCTGGTGAGAACGACAGTCAGAACACAGTAGTCTTTAGAGATTCTTAAATGGGATTTTTTAGTCATAATTAAAATAACAAATAAATAAACTTACATTCGAATTTCATAGATTTGTAAGAGTTCTTATCCAGTAATTGCCGGATCTTTTCATAGTGCACTTATGGGTAAATTTTGATTCAGTATAATTTTGAAAGTAAAGGAGACTTAAAACACATTTGAAAAATATTATCTTAGTTTATTTACATCTGTGTTTCCTGTCTAAGGTAGTTGAATGCAACTATTTTGTAATGCATCTTCAGATGGAAAAAATTTAAGGTGGAATCATCAGTAATAGCAACAGGCAGTTTAACAGTTTAATTTTCCAGCTTGGTGTTGCAATTCACTTATCACAGCAAATAATAAAAGTGAACAATTCTATGCTGTTTTACAAATATTCTTCATTTGAATATTACACTTTTATCACTGTGAATTTGACATGCATCCACATGCATCCAATTTGACATGTCCACATGACAAATTGACATTCCAGATGAAAGAAATAATAAAAATATTGTAGCATCCTGCAACTTATTAATTAGGCTATAGGAAGCCTAGACAGTATTAAGAATGTTTGGAAGGAGTTATGTATTTTTATTTTAAATAATAGAATTTTGGTCTTTTCCCATTTTAGGAATCATAAGAAATTATTTTCATGAGAAAATACAGATGTACTACATGCAAAAGATCAAAAATAACTTTTCTTCACCTAACTTTCTTTGTTATTTGTATCTAAAGACCTTGAAAGAATGAAAGTAAATTTAGTACACAATAACAAAGGAAAAAAAAACTGCTTTGTAGTCTGTTATGTTCCCATTTCTAGTCTTGCAGTAATAAGATTTGAACTTTCAAAATAGTAAAGCTCACTCATATTTAAGTATTCATGTTATTTCACTTCCAATCTGAAATTCATGATTTGAGTCAGAAAGTTCAGTATCAAGAATTACTCTCAATTTCCATCCTTTATTGTACCAAATAATGTGAGTACTTATATTCCTTATTTTTAGATTCTTCATCATTAGGATTTTTCAAGATTTTCCCCTCCCTCCTACTCTAATTTCTGTATTCTGCTGCTTCTGAGGACTTTTTTTGACAGTGAGACCAAAGGGTGATTTTTAGAAATGCAGTCTAAGTCTGATCATGCCTTTAGTTTCATTTTCCTCTCTTTTGATTGTGATTTTTTCCCCTGTAATAACGATAATAATATAGCATGATTTTCCTTTTAAAACATCTGGAATTTTACTAGTATTTTTGCAATCCTGTCTCTGGACCCTTTTTTTTTCTTGATCAGTGACTATTGAGTGTCTTTTCTTTTCTTAGCAAGATCTATTTATATAGATAGATATTTGGTTATTTTTTCCCTTTCTTAAAGCCTGCAGTTATTTCATCCTTCAGAATGGAAGAATTCCTAGAGCTTTTTTTCATAATTCTACTACTACTCATCTCCCTTTTTGCAGAAAACTCTATATTAAATAATTTCTATGCTAAATAATTTTTGTACTGTATTATTAGGCTTTTCTATGATGTTCATCCCTTTTTCTTTCCCCTCAAAACCAGCTGGTTTACCATTGGGAGAAGTAAGGCTTTCTTCTTCATAGCATGGCTGCAGGGCAGAAATGCAGTGTTTGTACTGCTGTGCCATCTGCATCAATTTACTGACAGAAGTATCTGTCACTGATAAATAAAAAGTCTCACAAAATGTGAAGTGTCATCTTGCAATGTCTCTTTTACAACTTTTTTTTAATCTGTCAGATCTTTATGAGTCACTTATCACTTTGAATTCAAGACTCTTTCAAAAATTCAGCAAACTCATAGTAGGGTACTTATTTTCTTTTTTTCCCTTTATTTTATTTTTCCCCCAAAATAATCATTTGATTGATGACTTTGATTGCCTTGTTTTAACAGTGATGAGAAGCAAAATCTTCTTGAAGTCTTAGTCACATCGATTCCGTCTTGCATTAAATACTGATGTGAACAAATAAGTAACCATTTCCAAAGACTGAGCCAAATAATTCTTAAATATATGTGAGTTTCTAGCCATGCAGATGCATGATGAATGATCGCATCATTCCTTCACCAAAATAAGTGAAGGCTGGAACTGCAGTCTCATTACTTAATCTGTGAGCACAAAGTCCTGATTGCCATCACATACTGTTACAAGCACCAGTTAATATAATCTGCTGTAAATTTTTCTTATGACTTACAAAATGCAGACTTGTTATAATTTGCATTATTTGTTGTGCACCTGTACATTAATACAGCAAAAAAAATATTTGGGAAGGTTCACAAAAGCTGAGTTTCCAAACTGCCCACTTAACACTGTAGTCTAATTTCAGCATGGAAAACATAGCCAACTGAAAGGTTTTCATGTTGTGATTTTTAAGAGTCAAAAGTGAATACTGTCATCTAAAATGGAGTGTGTGTGTTATGTCTAATTGGTTGTGTTATATAAAGGCAGTGTATATTTTTCTTGGAATGGGTGCTCCCATCTTCCAATAGAACATGTGTAATCATTGTGGATGTGGGGCACTGCAGCGTCCTCTAAGCACATCCTGCAGGAGATGGGAATGTGCAGGATCTTTTATAAACAGGCCTCTTTTTGCCTCTGTAAGAAGAAGGAGCTGACTCAAGGAATCTGATCGTCTTCCAAAGAAAACATCTGTTTTAAATATATTTGTTTGGATTCCAGTCAGCGCACCTAGGACTTGCATAATTAGCTTAGACTACAGAGTTCCCTTTTCAAAAGATACATTTATATAAATAAGCCATGCATTTTTCATTAAGCAAATACTCTTCCTTTCTCCCTTTTTTTCTTTTTTTTTTTAATTAAAAATTCAGGCTTGTATTTTAACATACAGTTTTGAAAAGCAAGGATTAATTGAGAAACTTTTTCAACACAATTATTTGTATGATATTCATTTTGCTGTACTTATAGTGGAGAAGTGTCTTTCAGCTATATGAGTGTATGCATTTATAAGCGTGCTTTTGATGCTGATAATTGATCATTTAGTAAATAAAATATTGTCGTACTTTTCACTACTTTTGATACCTACATTATTTTAAATGTAGATACTGGAGTTTTGAAAAATTAATTATGGTGGTACATGTCTTAAGTTTACCCTTCTTAAAGATCTGATTAACTAAAAATACCTAAAATACAGAATTTATTTCAACTTAAGCATCTCCTTAGAGGCTACAAGAAGAAATGAAACTCAGTGGCCCTTTCTCCATTCATCTTGTACCATTCCACGCCACATGATTCCACTGAACCAGAATCCCCTATCATACAGCTGTGCAACATTAAAAGGATTCTTTTCTAAAATTGGGTTAATCGTTATGCATATCTTTCATATGAATATCAAGCCCCTCAAATGTTCAGACATTCACAGATGGGAATTAAATCTTTTACTTTGGGAAAAATTCAGCCTGGAGTGACAATTTCATAATATACATTGCAGGTGTGCCTTATTGCAGAAGGGCTGAAGGTGGTTTTTTAGCCATAAAAGTAGATTCTAGGCCATTTGTTGCAGTTCACACAACCCAGGTGAAACTGTTGTCAATTTGACCTGTTATTCTTTACATCACATCTGATTTCAGTACTAGACCTGTCCAAACAGGAATTATGCCTGGGTTGAGTGTGTTCATGTGGGGCAACATGATTTGGTTCTGAATTATCTCAAAGCCCTACTTATTTTCTCTCTCTACAGACTGATGTGTTATAAGAGAAATGCAGTTGTGTGTTTGGTGGAACTTTTTTGGCTTTTCCTGCCATTTTCAGAAATCCTCAAGCATAGTCTGGGTAAAAAATGCTTTCAGTAGTTCTGTATGTTCCTTCCAGCAATGCCTGTGATTGAGAGAAATTGTCTAAGACTCCTTCTCTCTGGCTGTGCAGCACTTTAATTATCTGGAATTAATTCATATTAATTATTTGTATTTTTCAAAAGCAATGGTATGCAACACTTTGGTCTAGTATGGAGACAATAATGATGGCTATTGACTTCCTTTTGATGTAATTTACAGGATAATAATACAGATTTTATTTGTTTGATGTTGTGTAGGTGTTTACTTTGTTGTGGATTGCTGACTGGATGGTGCACGACTTCTGGAAAAAAGGAAAAGACCCCGATAGTTTTTCTATCCCTTATCTTACTGCACTGGGAGATCTGCTTGGAACTGCCTTATTAGCTACAGGTTTTCATTTTCTGTGGCTCATAGGTGACAGAGATGGTGATGTTGGTGACTAATTATTCCAATGAATGCAATGACTTTTCCTGGAATATTGACAAGACTGCTCACTCCACTTGAGGGTCCTCAAAGTCTTTGTTCCTTTTGGTCTAAGTAAATCCAGTTGACACAGACATAAAACAGCCTTAATGATTATAGTTTGGTTTGCTTTTAAAAACTTGGGTGGAACTACAGTACATGAGAGCTTTTTTCTGAAACCAAGGTGGATTGGAGGTAGCTGAAGATATCTGAGTAGACACAATAAAGAGCAGATGAATCCTTCATCAAGTTTTAAATTGCCTAAAGAGTTGATGATACGTTCTTACCTTGCAATTTCAGTGTTGCAGCTCTCTGTCCATTGTAGACTTGACACCAATAACGACTGTTATTGTCCACACATTTTGTCACAGGTTTTATTTTCTGTAGAAGAATATGACTATCAGCATTTATAAAATTAGACACTTGGAAAGTGTCTGCAGGACTCAGCCTGTTTTCTTTGTGCTAAAATGAGCAACCTAATTATTTTCCTGTTGGGATTTATTAGAACAAAAATAGAAAAGGCAAATAATAATGTGATACTGATCTGGTCACTATTAATGGGTGAATGGTTAAAACTCCTTGTGTTGAAAAGTGTATGTTCATTTAGCAACTGAAAAGATGTTTGACTAACTGATATTAATGGTGTTGTGATGGCCAGTATCCTGATTTTAATGAAGCATTTAGAGGTGTTTATTTAACTGTATATACTGATCCCTGCTTAAACTTGCAGTATAAAAGATGAAGTTTCTTTTATAAGCCCTTAGGAAGTTACACGTCAAATTCCAGACCTATGTCATCAATTTCTGAGTAGAAATCTCTGCTTTCAAGCCGTGCAAATAATACGGTCAATAAGGAAACTTATGGCTTCTCAGTGATTTCTCTTATTTTTAGACCTGAATTTCAAATTGATCATGAGGACTCTGGTTGCCATATCGGAAAAAAAAGTACTAATTGCTCTATTTTAAAATCTACTGGGAGTTCCTCACAGCATAAGTTTTAGAAGACTACTGCACACATCCAAAATGCATAATGAAATAAACAAATTGTATTTTAACTGTTGTGATTGAAAGTTTTAAATTTTGAGATTTAAATAAGACAACTGAATCCATATATCAGCATATAGTTTAATCTTGTAAACATTAGTCATCTGCTTTATGTATACAATGCTTTTTAATTTGATGGACCTACTCAGATGAGTAGATTACATGGATAAATGCTAATGGGACTTCTGTATGTGTTGGTCACCTTCAGCTCTTTGGAAGTTCAAAGTATTTGCAATCTTGAAAATTAAACCAGCTATTCAGTGCCTACAGATGGCTTTAGATGCCTGAATTTTAGCTCCCTCATTTAAATATTTTTATTTAAGCATTTTCTTACTGTTATTGTAATATAGTTGTTTGAATGAATCATATGTATTATGTCTTTTATTATGTGAGAGAAAGATGAAATCTTTCTAACTTCAGGTTCTCTGACTTTTTTTTAATATGTATTAATGTTATTTAAAATAGTTTCTTGTATGTAGCATTGCAGGAAATATTATTAAAATGTTTAAAATGGAATAGAAGAAACGCAATTTTTTCCAACAATGGTTAATTATTTTTGATACAGCCATAGACGCAAATTTTTGTATTTGTTAAAACTGCCATCTGAATCAACACAACTGACATTTCATGCACTTATTATAGTTACTGGACTTTAGGGTAATTTTTAAATGAATTGTAGGATTCTTAAAAATTAAAATTTCTTGAGATACATGTGATCTTGTCTCATCCAATTCATGAGGGAGTTGTAGTATGGCAGTATCCTTAGTGATTAGTATCCTAAATATTTCCCCAGTAAATAAGCAACTGTTGGTACAGTGTGACTGTTTAGATCATCAAAGTGGGGAAGAAATGTTACATGAGTAAAATTAAGTAAAATTTGAAAAAGGGAAGTGTATTGCCAGACTGAAATTATCTGGTCTTGAAAACAATAAGTGATGGGGAAGTATAATGGAAAAATTTGTTAGTTCAAAGAAGGGACAGTCCATTGCATGGTTGAGAGAGCAAAACCCATTTTGTGGAGAAGAAAAAGGTGCAGACTTTCACAAAGCATTCATTATTAGAGGCAAGAGCAAACAGAAGGAAGTTATTTGGAGAAAAGAATCAAAAGGAACAGCCAAACGTGTTTCTCAGGAAGGGAAGAAAAATATAACTTGTGTTGAAAGGATT